TAACGAAATTGGGCAAGCAATGCGCACATTGTTTGCAACGGGCTTGGGTTGGGACACAAGCCGAAAAAGACCCCGATTCCTGGACATAGTCAGGAGTCCTGGTCGCCCTTCTTCCTACGGATGTTCCGCTCTTCCATGAGGAGGGTTTTAAGCTCCTCAAACTGATCTGACATGCGTTTCTCTTGGGCCTCATTGGCTTGGATCAAGCTGTTCTGGAATGCGGCGTGGAGCTCATGGTGGCTTTTCTGCATGTTCACAGCAAGCTCCTGCCTCACACTAGCCAGGGCATTGGCCTGCTGAGTAGCTTGTGCGGTCTGATTCTGCACGATCGTTTCCTGGCCAGCTTTGATCTGCTGGATCTCAGCTTCAAGCTTGTTGATCCTCTGGGCCTGGGTGTCAAGGTGCTGCGCTGTGGGACCTGGCACTGCTCTCTGGGGGGGTTGTGCGGGTGTCTGGCTCGCAGCGGCTGGTTTGGCTTGCTGGTAGGATTGCCAAGGGTCTTTGGTCAACCATGGATCTGTTTCATCCTTCTGTGCAGGCGAGGGCCTGCGCGCAACTAGAGCTTTCTGGGTCCTTGGCTTGTGCTTATCCACTGGCTTGATGAGCAGTGCGGCTCCATTGAAGTGCAGAAAGTTCTGAGACTGCGACTCATCTGTGCCTACTAGCCAGGATTGCGGAGCAAGCGCCTTGAGCGGTTTGATCTCCCACTTAAGGTGTTGGGCCCGCTGCTTCAGGTGCTCACTCAAGACGCCTCTAGGGAGGCCGTCAATGCGGTACAACAACGGAGGCCTGGGACTTTGCTGCCTGAGCGGAGCTACCACACCAGATTACCTTCCAGGCGGGGTCCGGGCCTCCGGCGTCATCCTTGGGAGTGACAAATATGCCATGGAAACCTGAAAAGGACAGGATCTTGTGCAGCACATCGGAGTTGATCTGAGCATGGAATTGCACACTGTCAGCATGTGAGGCATTGGTCTGCTTGCCATCGGCACGGTATGATCTGGCCCACACGGCTAGGAAGGGATGTTCTATGCCCTGTGACTTCATGTGTGAATTCACATTGCGGACGGGGCTACTTCTTACCTCGTCCCAGTTCTGCTGTGAGCAGTCCTGGTACTGGGTGATGGCACAGGTGTGGGTTCGTGGCACTGGGACATCAGGCTCCCCGCTAGCATGAACTTTCACTGCTTGCTCTCCCAACTGGATCAGCCACGCGTTGATGAGAACCGGCTCCTGGTTGGTGTTGTGAGCAGGCACAATGAGTTTGGAGCACTTCCTAGGCGTGGTTGGCTTACTCACACCCGGTACTACAAGGCCGAGTTCATCAGAGGAAATGGGTGCCTTCTGATCTAGCCACGTACTGGCTTCTGCAAGGTCCATGAAGACAACTCCTGATGCACCTGGGAAAATGCGGCAGAGGATGGGCGCAGGCGATCCATCTTGGTTCAAGAAGGTCCCTGGGATGAGGGCATACTCATGAGCCTTGACCTGGGGATAGTTTCCCTTCTTTTCCCTGACAGCACGTTGGATGCGCGTGGCCGCAGCTACAACTTTAGTGCTTTGCTCAGGCGGTGTAATGTCACATTCCAAGCAAAGGTCACGCAGTGCCTGCCACTTGGCCTCATCTCCTCGCTTGTCAAGCACGGCCGTCACTCGCATTTTTCCTGCATGCTTGTACAGGGCATCAACGGTTTGGTGCACCTTTGCAAGCGGTGCACCATGCGACAGGAGATAGCTTGCAATGGTGTTCTTGACACTTTTGGCATTGTCAGTCTTAGATCCTCCTCCCTGGGTGGGGAAGTGCACTGACACTGCAAGGGCACTACTTCTCTGGGCAACCAACGCCAATGATTGGCGGCATTGCTCAAGGTCCCACTCAGGCAGCAGGCGTTTCGTTGCCCACATACACTTGGGGATGATTCCATGGCATTCCGGCATGAATGCAATGCAGTGGGCACAGGCAAGGAAACCTACAGTTACTTGCGCTGACACTGGACCCTTCCACAAGACGATGCCATAATATTTGATGCGGATTGTCACGACTTCATGATCTGGCTCTGCACAAGCTGCAGTCCCTTGCATAAGGGCGCGCGCGGCTCCAAATTGGAGACATCTGAGCAGTTGTGAAGCTGCAATTGGAACACACAGGTCGTTGTGGGTGAAGGACACATGTGCCTGCTCATGTTCGGATTCAGCATGGCATTGGTATCCAAGGTGTGCAAGGCCCTCATGTGTGAAGATCTTCTGCCAAAGCCTAACTGCAAGGACAGTCTCCAGGGGAGGACCTTGGCACTGGAGGTCAATTCGGTTGGGAGATTCCTTGGCTGTGACGCTGACTCTGGCAAGCTTCTTGGTCCACCTTGTGATATGGACTTGGCTGTTCCAAACCTGCTCAACTGGGACGACACTCACCCAACTGATTGGCTGTCCAAGCACATCAGCTGTGACTGGCCCAAACTCAGACCAAAGTTGGCATTCATGCATGTTGAGTGCACACCTCACTGCTTCGAGCTCGCCCAACTTTCGATTGCATGGCATGATGTAGACAGCTGCAGGTGTCCTCACACTCACAAGGTTGCTGGCCACATGATTTGTGTCACTGGGAGCTCGCACATCCACAAAGGCTTCACATTGATGCACCTGGCCACTGAGCACGTTGCCTCCTTCATCACTGAAGGAATGGAACCCTAGGTGTTGCGCAAGTTCGTCCCATCCTACGTCACAGTGAACTTGGAGGTGCCATGTCGCTCCTGATGCGGTGCACACTTCGACTTGGAGCCAGCATGCAAATTGGGCCGTCGGACTGATATTGTGGATGGGGTGAATGAGGTCAAATTGAAGGGTATCCTTAACCATAGAAACGGCAAAGATCCCCTCACCAGGCCACACAACACATGGTTGGGGATGCGACTTGGCAATCTGCTGCAACTGAAGAGTCTCTTGGAAAAGGAGAGCGTCCAGGGGGTGTGCATCACGGACAAGGCATGGCTGACCTTCAACACAGATAACATGGGCATTCCTTGCATGCATCCTATGGTGGAGCAGGTCGATCACAGCTGCTTCTGGCCTTGGCGCCCAATCCTTCCACATCTCAACTTGCTGAAGGCCATTTGCGATGGCCAAGATTGCATGGATCGGGCTGATGCAGTCACCCACAATCTGCCATCCGACCTGGATTTGGGGCCCAAAGCACAAAGGGTGGACAACTCCCTGGCAGATAGCGATTTCTGGCGGGGTCCAAAACCTAACTTCACCTTCAAAGCAGACAAATTGGCCAAAGAGGCCAGTGGTACGAAGCTTCTCGGCAGGCAAAGTGTGCTGGGATCCATACATCTTCATGAAGGTAGGGGGTAGCTGGAAGGTAGAGCCTACCCGGATTTCATCAATGGACTTACGCGGCCTCTTGCAAGGAAAGGGGGAGCGTGGGAGAAACTCCTTACTCCAGTACACTTCCATGACCTCAAGGCAAGGGGTGGCATCCTGAATCAGTGCTTGTGGTTGCTTGACCATGGATCCAAAGGCTGCAGGGTGGATACCTCCACTTTGAATCCAGGGTACCCAAACAGAGGCATCATCGAGCACATCTCTACGCCTAAGCGTGATCAGGCATCGCTTCCTATGGCAAGCAGCAACGTCAGCGATGTCACAGACTGCGAGGTGCTGAAACTCGAACCCCGCCCACTTCCACAGCAGTATTACGTTCGGGAAATGCTCATGCAATTCAAACCCTGGGACTTGCTCCATTAGCACGACCAGGGGCTTCTGCCATTTCGCAACTTCAATGATGTCGCACAGTGCAACTCCAGCTGGGCAGTCCAAACCCTCACGTTTACCTGCATCTGACCAGCTAATGCATGGGCTTGACACCGTGAAGACATTCGGGTGCAGGCAAGAAGCATCAAACCTCCAAGCCGTATCACCTACATCTGCTTTCCAAACCACTGTCTTGCTCGGCTGAATCTCACTCACTATGCCCGGGGGGGCACTCTTTGGGATTTGGATGGCTTGGAAGGTGGCAGAGTAGCAATCCACTACCTGTGCATTTGCGTCAAGTGCTGCAACCACTCGGGCTAATCCACCTTTGCGCTGGACGCGTGTCACTGCCTGGTGCCAACCCGCGTAGGCACCACAGAATGCTTCCAGGATGCGTACATCTGGAGTTCGGTCGGTGCAGGGCATCATGATGAAACTCCATTGTTGCCACGCAAAAAAAGCCTGTACATCATGCGGCAGTGCAAGTCCGTGTTGCTGGGGGTCTGCGCTGCACAGGTCACCGAGGAGGATATGTGAACAGTCTCTGTCAATTGCCTCGGCCATGATGGTCGGCAAAGTAAAAAAGATATTCTGTTCAGTGTCACATCTGCTCGTGAATACAGGCTTACCTCTCATGACCGAAGTAGCATCTGGATCGCCCCAAAGGCAGATCTGGGCTTGCATGCAAGTGAAGGGCCCTAGTGGCTTCACCGCCTTCCAGTTGTACGCGAAGGTGTAGACGTGCTTGCTCTTCGAGTCGACTTCGTGGAGCATTGGCTTTCTGGCAAGCCACTGCTTGATGCGGCTGGGCCACACGCATGTCATGGCTCAGTTGGGACCTACCAGCCACAGTACCACCGCGGGAAGGTCAGAGCCGAAATACTTGTAGCGGGTTAGATGGAAACCCAACCACTAAACCATCTAAAATTAAGCTAAAAGCCTAACCTGTCCCAACGGAAGAACCCGCTAGTGCCTCGAAACCTCCCAGTTTCTCGCTTGTTTGCTCATGGGGTAGTGGCAAAATGGCCATCGGGTTGTTCCAAGTGGGGGTCCCCCCCCAACCCTGACCCGTCATAAATGCCACTAGCTGGAAACAAAACGGGACGCCACCATCGATCTGGCATAAGGATCTTCCGGACTTTTTTCGCAACCTACCCTCCCAACATAGAACTTTACAGGGGAAGTGTTGAAAGGTCTCTACAAAAGACGGCGAGCTGCGCGCCCCTTCGTTCACAAATCCGAGCTGCCTCTGGGACCAAATGGCCACACAGCTGGTGACTCGGGATGGCAAGTCCTCGCTCCTGCTGGTGTCCTGAAGAGTTACTAAAGCTAAGCCCCACTCATGATTTTTGAAATTTAGATCTAAAGTCCCCATGTCAAGTAGTTTGGCCATTCTTGTTACACGGGGCTGGTGGGTTCCATCAAGGGAAAAGAACAAAGCGCACACAAAAACACACACCACCCAAGCAAAAGGCCTTCTTGAGTGCTGCCTGGCAGGCTTTCATTTGCTACTCGGTGTGGTTCTGCTTCAAGCATCGGAGCAATCCTGTTATTGGAAGGGTTCTGACAACCTTTCCGACGGCGGGCGGACGGCCAATTGCGATTGTGCCGCTGAGAAGCATAGGCTTTGGCTGCCCCCACAACTGGGGAACCAAAGTCACTGTACTTCGTGGGCCAAGCCCGGGATTAAACATGATTAAGCAACTGGATAGTGTAGTCACTGTTGCTTGAACCACCTCCTCTGCATGAATCTTGCAGGGGATCGCAGTCTGCTTGTTTAAACGCACAGGCACCAACCCTGGCTTTCAGTCCATCAATAATGCCTGGTAGCAACGCACAATCATCGTGAGCAGTCCCCTTGCCGTATAAATATAGAACCTTCCGTAGATAGAACCTTCAAACCGCCGTCCTGATGCACATCCCATCTGTGAAAGGCGCAAAACCTGTGGTACTCGGCCAAGTAGTCGCTGGCAGACAAGTCCAAGTCCAAGGTGGTATCCTCAAGGCGCAAGTGAGTCATAATCAAAACCCGGTAGTAACATCGTCTACCCAGAAGCACGTAAAGAATGAAGGAGGCGGCCGCAGCTATTTATGGGATTGTTACCCGGGTTTTGATTGTGGCTCAAGTCACGATTGACTTAAGTGGCTGAAGAGACCTGCCAGTCGTGCCATGGGTTTTCGATGAACTGCCATTTGCTTAGCCCCCTGGATAAAAAACAAAAAAACATATGTCCAGTAGTAAAATCGATTCCCTTTAACGCCAACAGGGGGGGAAAAAAACAAAACAAGAAATAATATTCATTTCAGCCAATGGAAGTGATTTCACGGTTTCTTTCCCCAAACTAAGTCGGGCCGGAACCCTGGGCCAACGGCCCAGGTTTGTGCCAAATGGCCTGGGGCACTTTGAGCAAGGGCCATCGAGTGGATCTTTGTCCAACGCCACCAGGCCGCGTTTTTGCCAAAAACCGCGCTCCCGATGGCGCCACAAACCTCGAGGTTCTTTTTGGCGAGGCAAAAGCAACTCCGGCTCCGCCGAACTAGGCCCCGAAGGCACTCAGGGTCCAGCCTCACTCCAAAGACCCGATCGGCACCCGTATTGCCAACCTTCTAATGTTGATCAAACATTTACAGGCCGGAAGGCGGCTATGAGCAAGCCTGCTCATGAAGGGGAATGTGCATGTGACTTTCACTTTCTCAAAACGGCTGCACATCCACAAAATACACACCCAAGGAGTCCTGCGAGGCGGTCGATTCAACTGCTTCGAGGCTCGATTTGCGTCTGCGCCGCCAAAGTGTTGGGGATGAAGTCCAGGGTGTTATCCTGCACATAGGCTGCTGGTGTCATGTTGAGCCTTCAACATCCTTCAACCATGTTTTTGTAACACCCCGGTATGTCAGCAAGCTCCGTTCTTTGCATTCCCTGGACTATCTGCAACCAGAACCCCGAAGAAGCACATCCGTAGACATACTACGTGGATAGACCCACGTAGCGCGCCAAACACACCGTTTGGTGCAGGTTCACATCTCGATCTTGCGCTGCTCAAAACCCCAGGCACCCATATGTAGGGCTTTCCGAGAAACCGGGGAAATTCACCTGCGGGTTCTTCTGCTCAAGTCTTGGGTCAACCAATCATTGCTTCCAGCGGGCCACCGGCTCTTTTTGCACAATCGAATCAACAGATCGTACTGCACTAAGACATAACATCATTTCGGGTGATGCCATGGAGAAATGACCCTTTTTTGTACAGCAGACACCTTCATGGGTCAGGTGGGAAACCCTTGAGAGTCGCCGAGACATCTTTCAAGTGATGTTTGATCAATATCCCTGCGCCAAAAATCACCAGAAAGTCACTGACTTCGGTTGCTTTCCCAGAATCATTCGCATAACCTCCGCCTGGTGCCTCCAAACAAGGCCTTTCACTTGATCAAAGCACCTGTACACAAAAACATACAAAAACGTTAACCTCTTGGGACCTTTACCTAAAAGGTTAACAGGTCGGCTTTGGGCATGAGCTTAATGAGGTTTTACAGTGCTATCATTTCGGGAAACAGCGTCCTGCGACGGGATCGTCCCCGACTTTGAGGCAGTGTGTGTGTTCACCCGCACGCTCTCCGTGTGGGTCTGAGTCCGTCCATCCTGGTGGCGTTTCTGGCAGTTGGGTTCTGGAGTGGCTTTGTCTCAAAATACACTTCTCCCTTCGCGGCCCTGGGTAAACACACGTTTCTACCACACGTCCTATGTGAGCTGAAGCGCATCCCCGCTCAGCACTAGATGACACTCCACCTGTTGCAGTCCCCAAGTCTTTGCAAAGCACAGGCAGAAACCAGGCCATACAATACACCCTTTTCAGTGGACGAGACAGCCCGAGCAAGGCGCCGTACACGGAGTTTGCCCGGAAATGACGGGTTTCTTGACAAGAAGCGATGTGCAAAACAGCTTTTGTCCCGATGCAAGACTTGAAGCCAAGCGTGTTGGATTCTGACCTTTCAACGGCAAGTAGCCTGAAACGGGTGAGGGACCCCTCCAGCTGCATGACAGTAGCCCCAACAAATTGCGGACTGTGGATGGACAAAATCCATGTCGCACCACCTAAGAAACCCTCAAATGATCAGGGATCCTTACATTATACACCCGAACATTGCCTTGTAAATGGTGGTGTCCCTTTATTTTGGTGGCAAAAACATGTTTCAAATGGGCAACATGTATCTTTTAAGGAGCCCTGATGATTGGCCTGCAAATACCAAAAAACAATGGTTTCCGGTGCAGGATTTCGTCCATCCACAGTATGGCATGGTTCTTCAAAATGCGCTCTCCAAGAAGTAGTGACTGCTCAATTATAAGGATGACCCACCATCCGCGCAAAGGCCTGAAGGTACGTGTGAAGATGACAAAGGCTCAGGTTTTCTGGGAACCCCCAACCAGGCGCCTTGAAACCCGTGCGGCTTGTGGCTTAAGCATCACCGAGGGCACCCGTACGTTGGGCATGCAGGGCCAAATTTCTCGGACACTGTGGGGATGCTTAAGCGCGCCTCGGAGAGGAAGAAACACCTATATATTGTTGGGCCCCCGTTGCAGTCATTTGCCATGACCGTTGTTGAAGTCCTGGCATATGGGGCGTCTAGAAACTAGAGACCGCTGTTGGATGGTGAAAGCGATCTGCATTTACACTATGTCCAAACCCTGAAGCAAGGCATGCCCAAGTAAATGACCTGCATCGCAAATCATCTGGGTTGATCTGGCGTCTGCAGTTCGCTGCCCAGGCCATCAGCCATAGATAACCATAACAATCATAAGCACAGGCACTTGTACTTTTCATAGATGCGATGGGGTCGTCTGACCCCATCTTCACTATATTTCACCGTCGTCTAGCCCCATTTCATAGCTATGAATCGGGAGCTCTCTCGATGTTTGATCTAACCTTCGGTCTGGTCTAGCGCTACCCGTTTTATAGCTGCAGTAGTACGGGGTACGTACTAAAACGCGGAAAAAATGCCTGAGCGTGTGGGGAATGAAACTTGCCAAAAATCCAACCCCTCGGCCCTCCGATGCTTCGGGATGCTCGAGAGTTAGCCTGATTGCGGCGCCTCGGAGCGATCTCGGATGAGTTTGCGTGGCAGGCAAGGGGCTTTCGAGAGGTCAGGTGGAGAATTTGTGGCAGGCGCTGAACTTTCGCATGTACAGATTCCGTGGCAGGCGCAAACACTTTCGCAAGGTCAGGTACAGATTTCGTTGCACGCACTGCACTTTTGCCAGGTCAGGTAAAGAATTTCTGACAGCCGCGGAATTGTCACAAGGTCAGGTGGAGAACACTTTCGCAAGGTCAGGTCCAGATTGCGTGGCAGGCGCAGAGGTCAGGTGCAGATTTTGTGGCAGGCGCAAAACTTTCAAGACTTCGTGGCAGGCGCAGCACTTTCACAAGGTCAGGTACAGAGTTCTTTGCGCCAACTGTCGCAGGATCAGGTACAGATCTCGCAGCAGGCACAGCATCTTGTTTGCAAGGTCGATTGATGATAGTTGAATAGGTAGGAGACAGATAGATAGATATATAAATTCATAGATAAATAGATAGACAGACAGACAGACAGACATATAGGTAGATAAGATAGATGGATAGATAGACAGCCAAATGAATACATAGCAAGAGAGAGAGAGAGACAGGGGGAGAGATAATAAATACAGAAACAATAGATAAAATAGAGAGTCCGAAAAGCAAGACATAAATAAAGAAAGGCAGGGAGAAAGACAGAGAGAGAGATCAAGAAAGAACAACAAATAATTTAATACATAAAGGGAACAAGAAGTAAAGAAGTAAAGAAAGGAACAAAAACAACATACAGATGCAACGAAACAAATAAGAACGTACAATAAACGATGACAAAAAAGGCAGAAAGAAAGGAACAACATTCACAGAGGGAAAAGCAGAAGGAGGACTATAGTTCTTATTTGTCTGACACTTCCGCCCACCGGCTTCGCCGGCTCTACTGTCAAAAGCCAGAAATGATAGCAACAATGCAGCACACAATTGCATGACGACGAGTGTGCCTTGTCCGTGGTTGTTCGAGTTCGCGTCTCGTAGTGATAGCCTAGGAAATCCCGGGAATGAGGGCTGATCCGTTGACTGAACTCTATTTGAGGTCGTCAAGATGCCATTTTTCAATGTGGCACACTGGAACGCCCTTCGAAATATAATTTGTGGACCAACGAATCCCGTGCAAATGATGTCTTCCGAACAATCCAAACTCATAGCGTCTCAAACCGGTGATCTCCTCTAAAGTCCATGGATGTTCCCTCGTTTGGCTTGTTGGATCCCCTTTGGAATTAATTGGCCAAAGGCAGTGGAAGCATCCAAAGTATTCTTCAAAAGCAGTTGGATCTCCGTCAAAAAGTGAAGAGACCTCCTGGTGACATCCTCATTCTTTGAAAGGGATGCAAAACAAAGCTTCTACTGCAAGCTTTCGGAACGACAAATGTCTCGGCCGTGACTTCCATTTGGCTAAGACCCGTGGACAAACATAAAAATAGTTTCAATAGTGATAGATTCCCTTTAAAACCAACAGGGGAAAATATAAAATATTCACTTCAGCAGATGGATGGTGATTTCCCTCGGCCTTTGGATTGGAACTGGCCCACCCTTCATTTGAAGAGCCCAGTCTGGCCGGGCACTCGCTACTTCCAGCGAGCCAAACTTCCCTTACAGTACTTCCAACTTCGGCTGTCCTAAAAGTGGTATTCCCCCCCCAGTTCGCAAGACCATGTCCAAAATGGTCCCCTCCTTTCAGGGCTGACAACCATAGCCTTGATCTTCCAGGGCCCTGAAAAGCAGATCTTTGGCCGATTTTTTACAATTTGAAATCCAAAAAGCAATCTCAAGAAGGACCCCTCTTTTGCAGGTCCTAAGACACATTTGCAAGACACCTACCCCCCTCCTAGATTTTGGGGTAAGATGGGGTAAGTTTCCCCGTGTTGAGTCAAATTAGGCCGCAGGCTCCACTCCTGGCGGTGCACATCCGTCAATTCCTTTAATTTTCAGCTTTGCTATCATACTCCCAATGGAACCCAAAGACTTTGATTTCTCGCAAGGTGCTGCAAGAGTCGTGCAATTAACGACCTCCAATCTCTAGTTGGCATAGTTTATGGTTAAGACGCCAAATGATCCCTTCCTTTTTGGGGCCACTGACAACCATGGGAAACCTTCTCGCGGAGAGACCCCACGAGGGCCGAGATTTGGTCCGGATGGCACTGCACGTGCCATGTGAAGCAGGGATTCTCGTAGCGCGGGCGATCCATCTTGTCGATGACCTCAGAGCCCAAGGATCAAAGAGCTGCCAATATACCATGTATATACATATACAAAAAATATCTATATATGTGTATTTGTGCGTATATATAGTCGGGTATTTGTGTCCTGTATGTATATATATATATATATAATGTATGGATGCTTGTTTTGAGTGTACCCTTTCTCTAAAAAGAAAAACCACATGGGGTGTGGCTTAAACGGACACCGAAAGGAATACCGTACCATTTTTGTGTGTTTTATGTTATTTCTTGTCTTTTCTTTTTTCTTTGGGGGGCCTTATTTTCGACCTTCTTTTGGAACGGCGAAGAAACTAGGACCGAAGCGAGTAAGGAAACTAGGACCGAAGCGAGATGAAAACTAGGACCGAAGCGAGCCAGCAACTAGGACCGAAGCGAACCCGCGACCCTTATTTTGACACATGCTGATAGAACATACTTCCCAGAATAGGCTACCATAAAAATGGGCTGGTGTCCTTTTGGTGTCCTTTTGGTGTTCAACATAGTGAACTAAGGGGTGCTCTAAGTAGTTTGAGAACCCCCCAGACGGGTTGTGATGTGCATTTGATCAGGCTGGAAAGAGAACGCTATTTAATTGGGGCGGTTGGTGTAGGACAAGTCGCTTCAGTACAGAATTACTGTTTCGCTATTGTTGCGCAGATGTGCGGACGGTCGGCAAAAGCCCCCTTTTGGCCAGAACAAGTCGCCGTGTGGTCGGGACACTTCGCCTTCTGATGTTCGCTTGCTCCTCAAAAACGAAAAACAACCATGCATGCCATGTTTGAAGGTTCCATGATGTTCAAACGAAGTCAAATAGAATCATATACTAGGCCCTCCAGTAGAGTACCGTTTTTTTCTGTAGTCTATCTTAGTAGGGGAACCCTCCCCCAAGACAGGGTAAAAGCCTACAGTACCTTTGACATGCCAAGAACGAAAAAAACAGAGCAAACCACCAGTTGGAGGGTTTATGTCATTCCATTTCTCATTCCCTGCTGAGAACTTGGGCATGTCTCGAGAAACGCCGGGCCCACAAAATGGCATTCCTTCCAGCTCCAAGAAGGGTATCCCAACAAAAATACACGCACACAAAAAAGCCCAAAGGACCATTTACTGGAGGAACTCCCCTGTGAGGTCCCACGTTTTGTTTTGAGCCTTCAAAAACAAACACAGACTTCACCCATCTGTGCAAACTACTACAATTCCGAAACCGGATGGGGAACTCCCCAAGCAAAGGGCCTTCATCATGGGCCTCTGGGGCCTGCGCTTGCTCGATACCTTCCGTCGCGTTGACAAGAGCTCGGGTCAGGCGAACGCAGAAGCACAAGTGGATCAAATAGATGAAATACCTCCGGCACAAAACAGGGCCTTTTAAAAAAATATGGGAAACGTCTTGTTTAACGGTTCGAAGGAGAACCCGAGGACAAAAACATGTCTTGCTTGGGAGAGGATCTTTGCTTGATGGTTCCGGGGGAAAAACAAAAGGGACAGTGTGTCCAGAGATCTTTGCGTGATGGTTACGAAGGGAAAGCCAAAGGCAAGTGCATTCCAATCATAAGGCAAACATTGCTGGTGTTTGGCCAGCAGAAAAGGATCGTTTCGTGGGGAATAGCACGAGGAATGTGAGACAAAGTTGTGGCAATACTATATTCATAATCGGCAGGTCCAAATTCAGCATTGGGAATCTGAGGGCTTGGCAATACTAACCTTCACTTCGGGGCTGTGAGGCAGTATGCACTTTGTCAGATCCCAAAGCCTGAAAAATAAGTGGATCCCCAAAAGAGCCTTAACCATGATGGTCTGGTTTTACCCCTGAATCAGTGAGCTCGCCATAAACTAGGCAAAGAAGATGATGCGGGCCCCCCCTTTCACAATTCAAATGAGCCATGTCCAGAACGTGTCGTGATACCCTATGGCGCATCCCCCTCCTTACGCCGCTTCCTTACGCAGCCTTACGCGCACCGTGCTTTCGCTTACGCGGCACATGGGCTTCAAGTAGGCCTTACGCAGCCCTTACGCCAGAGAGACCGGATGCAATTCCGTGGAAGGCGGCTTACGCGAGCACTGTTGCCTTTCACGCAGATGACGAGCCGTGGAGGAAGATGAAGAGGAGGAAGAACAGCTTCATTGCAGCGAAGTTGCGAGTCAACGCATTGTCGTCTCCGGCTGTGGGCCCTTCCAGCTCCCAGGAGCGGGGCTTATCGTAGAAGCGTCGTCTCCAATTGCAAGTATCCTTCTCGTTTGGCGGAGCCCTGCTTTCTTGCGATGGCGCTGCCTTGTGGAGGAAGGCAGCGCCGTGCGGCAGAGCTGGACAATGAGCTTGGCAGAGCTGGACAATGGCAGGTCTGGGAAGGGCTTTTCAAAGCCGGCAAGGCTACTACTCAGAAACGCAGCTGGGGCTTACCCGGGGGCTTACGCGAAGCTTACGCGAGCCTTACGCGGAAAACACCCAAACATTCCCTAGTTTTGCGTTGTGTAGTAGCAAAGGACAATATTGCTTTATAAGGTTCAATGGGTAGATATGACAAGCACATGACTAATGAGAAACACATGGATATGACAAACAACATGACTTAAGAAACACATAGGATATTCCAAACAACATGACTGAACAATAACTTACGCGGGACGCTTGCGCGACATGTTTTTTCGACAGTTGCTTACGCCGCCTTACGCCCGTGCAAGCTTTGCTTACGCCACGGGTCGATATGACATAGTCCCTGATAAACATGTAGACGGAGGTTTTGGACGTTGCACAAATGGAAACCACAATCAATCAAAGAAAGCCAACCATCTTTATAGTCCCCTATTTGGGTGTCAGTATGTCGTTTTCAGGGTACTCGTTTTGGATATCTTCAAAACACAGAAATCCAACTGGAAAACCATTTTGGAGGGGGTCCCTCAGAAAAGACATTTAGCTTTAGGGGTTCCATTCGGGGTTCGATTTGGCGAGATTCATTTGAGGGCTCCCCTCGTTCTGAGACACTCCGATCTAAGCCCCGAGCAACGAGAAACGCACAATGTGAGATCTACAGGGCACGCGATGCCCATGGGCGCGAGCATTTGTGTATCCACATAGCCGTCGATCAGCATGGCGAGAACTGCATAGATGATGCTGCACCTGTGACTGTGTGCGCGCGTGGGCGTGGGCGTGGGCGTGCGCTTGCGTCGTGTGTATACGCTTGTGTCGTGTGCGTGCGCGTGCGCGTGTGCGTGGGCGCGTGTGTCAGCGCGGGCTTGCGCGTGGGCGTGCGCGCGCGCATGCGCGTGCGCATGCGTGTGTGCGTGTGGGTTTGCGCATGGTTTTGCTCGTGCGCGCGTGCGCGTGTGCGTGCGCATGTGCGTGTGCGTGTACGCTTGATTGTGCGCGTGCGCGGGCGGATGCGCGTGTGCGGGTGCGCGGGTGCGGGTGCGGTTGCGCGCGTGTGCACATGTGCGTGTGTGTGTGTGTTGTGTGTGTTGTGTTGTGTTGTGTTGTGTTGTGTTGTGTTGTGTTGTGTTGTGTTGTGTTGTGTTGTGTTGGGTTGTGTTGTGTTGTGTTGTGTTGTGTTGTGTTGTGTTGTGTTGTCTTGTGTTGTGTTGTGTTGTGTTGTGTTGTGTTGTGTTGTGTGTGGTGTGTTGTGTTGTCTGGTGTTGTGTGGTGTTGTGTGGTGTTGTGTGGTGATGGGTGGTGTTGGGTGGTGTTGTGTGGTGTTGTGTGGTGTTGTCTGGTGTTGTGTGGTGTTGTGTGGTGTTGGGTGGTGTTGTGTGGTGTTGTGAGGTGTTGTGTGGTGTTGTGTGGTGTTGTGTGGTGTTCTGTGGTGTTGTGTGGTGTTGTGTGGTGTTGTGTGGTGTTGTGTGGTGTTGTGTGGTGTGGTGTGGTGTGGTGTGTGGGTGTGTGTGTGTGTGTGTCTGTGTCTGTGTCTGTGTCTGTGTCTGTGTCTGTGTCTGTGTCTGTGTGTGTGTTTGTGTGTGTGTGTGTGTGGGTGTGGGTGTGGGTGTGGGTGTGTGTGTGTGTGTGGGTGTGTGGGTGTGTGGGTGTGCGCGTGTGTGTGTTTGTGTGCGCGCGCGCGTGTGCGCGTGTGCGCGTGTGCGCGTGTGCGCGTGTGCGCGTGTGCGTGTGTGCGTGTGGTGCGTGTGTGCGTGTGTGCGTGTGTGCGTGTGTGCGTGTGTGCGTGTGTGCGTGTGTGCGTGTGTGCGTGTGTGCGTGTGTGCGTGTGTGCGTGTGTGCGTGTGTGGGTGTGTGGGTGTGTGGGTGTGTGGGTGCGTGGGTGCGTGTGCGTGTGCGTGTGCGTGTGCGTGTGCGTGTGGGTGTGGGTGTGGGTGTGGGTGCGTGGGTGTGTGGGTGTGTGGGTGTGTGGGTGTGTGGGTGTGTGGGTGTGTGGGTGTGTGGGTGTGTGGGTGTGTGGGTGTGTGTGTGTGTGTGTGTGTGGGTGGGTGGGTGGGTGGGTGGGTGGGTGGGTGGGTGGGTGGGAGGGTGGGTGGGTGTGTGTGTGTGTGTGTGTGTCTGTGTCTGTGTCTGTGTCTGTGTGTGTGTTGGTGTGGGTGGGGGTGGGGGTTGGGGGTGTGGTTGGGGGTGTGGGTGGGTGGGTGGGTTGGGTTGGGTTGGGTTGGGTTGGGTTGGGTTGGGTTGGGTTGGGTTGGGTTGGGTTGGGTTGGGTTGGGTTGGGTTGGGTTGGGTTGGGTTGGGTTGGGTGGGGTGGGTGGGTGGGGTTGGTTGGTTGGGTGGGTGGGTGGGTGGGTAGGTAGGTGGGTGGGTGGGTGGGTGGGTTGGTTGGTTGGTTGGTTGGGTGGTGGGTGGGTGGGTGGGTGGATGGGTTTTTTGAGGTTCCCCTTTTTCAGCTGTTAAGTTGTTTAAACGCAACCCACCACAAGATCAGGGCACGTGAAAACTCCCATTGAAAGAGCTGCATTCAAAACAAACATTGGAAATACGGCGGTTGATGACCCCTCAGGGTGTACGCTCGTGTTTTGGCTATGTGCCACCTTGTTCTGCGGGGTGTAGAAACCACCCTGGGTTGTCCTGTGGTTTCCGTTTAAACCATCCTTGAAAAGGGTCGCCTCGCGGAAACACAAACAACCCAAACGAAACCTGAGCAAACGTTCCTCGCAGGATGTTGGGGGACCCTTGGATTCTGACACATTGGCTCAAGGAAACGGCCAAAGGTCGCTCAAGCCATGCAACAGCCCTTGAAAGGCCGCAGGTCACCGCGAAATCTGAGACGCAAGCTGGACCCACGTAGAGCCCATGCATTCTAGGGTTTCCAGAAGGGCCGAGGCACCAAATGACCCCCTGCAGGATGAGGGATGTGGTATAGCCTGGCGTTCGCTTGGAACAAGGTTGTCTTCTTGAAAGAAACAACGGGTTTTTGTTTTACCGGACAACTCATCTAAGCGAACCCGCTATTTTTCCACCAGCTTGTGGAACGACAAACCACCCTGAAAAATGTCGTTAGGGAATTCAGGAGGAAAACCGTCTATGGCATTTGTTCAAGGAGGCAAAGGGAAGGTGGATCATGGGGGGGCACTATAATATATTATATACACATATAAACACATATATCTCTATATACATATATATATATGATTATGCAATTATGCGTATGACGTATGTCTAGAAATAGGGAACCCCTACAGATGGTGGATTTACATGTCCCTTTCCAGACTAATCAGCTCCTTGCAGGCTGGGTGCTGGCGCAGTGCTTCTTGCAGGCGCGCTTCATGCCCAGTCCGTCGTCCTCCGACCCGAGGTCTCGGTCGATGTGGGCCGTGGTGCGCCGCCCCAAGATGGACACCACCGCCTCGTAGATCAAGGCGTCCACTGGGACGTCCGGGCAACGCAGGTGCGGGCGACCCAAGAGGAATAGGACCTGCGGTTCAAGACTTGGCGACAATCCGCAAAAAGAAGAACCATTGTCAGGACTCTGCTTGACCACTTTTTCAACTAGCGACCCTTTCCGTTGAACCTGTAATCAGTGGAGCGCCCTTTGCCCTTAGCTTCTCCGTTATGTATATATATATATATACATCTATATATATATATATATATATAGATATTGTATTATATTCATAGGCCGTACCATAGGCTCACCATAAGGCCAGGTAGTGGGCCCACCCACCAAAACCGGGCCCTTTGGGCTAGGTCCTCTAGTGGAGAGGTCAGAATAAGGGTACCATTTTTTCAGTAGTCTGGGAACCCTCCCCCAAAAAAAATAGTCAAAGGGCACTATTGGGGGAACTAGTGGGACTCATCTGCTTTCTTCTCGTCGCCTCGTTGTAGTGGAGGTAGTTGCCCGTGGGCGCAAAGCGCTTGGCGATCAGCGAAAAGCTCGCGTCGTCCAAGTGCCTCCCAGGCTTCGGAGAGGCTGGGCGTTCAAACGTTGGTCGGGGAATGACGAACTCCGGGTGTTGGTTGAATAACCAGTTTTGGGGATTCCCTTTATATAAGCAAACCACCGGTTGGATGGTTTATGGGGGTCATTGCAGGGTGTTGGTTGAGAATGAACCAGTTTTGGGGATTCCCTTGATATAAGCAAACCACCGGTTGGATGATTTATGGGGGTCATTGCAGGGTGTTGGTTGAATGAACCAGTTTTGGAGATTCCCTTTATATAAGCAAACCACCGGTTGGATGGTTTATGGGGGTCATTGCAGGGTGTTGGTTGAGAATGAACCAGTTTTGGGGATTCCCTTTATATAAGCAAACCACCGGTTGGATGGTTTATGGGGGTCATTGCAGGGTGTTGGTTGAATGAACCAGTTTTGGGGGGTCGCTTTATTTATATAAGCAAACCACCGGTTGGATGGTTTATGGGGGTCATTGCAGGGTGTTGGTTGAATGAACCAGTTTTGGGGATTCCCTTTATATAGGCAAACCACCGGTTGGATGGTTTATGGGGGTCATTGCAGGGTGTTGGTTGAACGAACCAGTTTTGGGGATTCCCTGTATATAAGCAAACCACCGGTTGGATGGTTTATGGGGGTCATTGCAGGGTGTTGGTTGAATGAACCAGTTTTGCGGATTCCCTTGATATAAGCAAACCACCGGTTGGATAGTTTATGGGGGTCATTGCAGGGTGTTGGTTGAATGAACCGATTCCCTTTATATAAGCAAAACAACGGTTGGATGGTTTATGGGGGTCATTGCAGGGTGTTGGTTGAATGAGCCAGTTTTGGGAATCCCCATTATATAAGTGGTTTGTGGGGGTCATTGCAGGGTGTTGGTTGAATGAACCAGTTTTGGGGATTCCCTTGATATAAGCAAACCACCGGTTGGATGGCTTATGGGGGTCATTGCAGGGTGTTGGTTGAACGAACCAGTTTTGGAGATTCCCTGTATATAAGCAAACCACCGATGGGATGGTTTATGGGGGTCATTGCAGGGTGTTGGTTGAATGAACCAGTTTTGGGGATGCCCTTTAAAAAAGCAAACCACCGGTTGGATGGTTTATGGGGGTCATTGCAGGGTGTTGGTTGAATGAACCAGTTTTGGGGATTCCCTTGATATAAGCAAACCACCGGTTGGATGGTTTATGGGGGTCATTGCAGGGTGTTGGTTGAATGAACCAGTTTTGGGGATTCCCTGTATATAAGCAAACCACCGATGGGATGGTTTATGGGGGTCATTGCAGGGTGTTGGTTGAATGAACCAGTTTTGGGGGGTCGCTTTAAAAAAGCAAACCACCGGTTGGATGGTTTATGGGGGTCATTGCAGGGTGTTGGTTGAATGAACCAGTTTTGGGGATTCTTTTGATATAAGCAAACCACCGGTTGGATGGTTTATGGGGGTCATTGCAGGGTGTCGGTTGAATGAACCAGTTTTGGGGGGTCGCTTTATTTATATAAGCAAACCACCGGTTGGATGGTTTGTGGGGGTCATTGCAGGGTGTTGGTTGAATGAACCAGTTTTGGGGATTCCCTTTATATAAGCAAACCACCGGTTGGATGATTTATGGGGGTCATTGCAGGGTGTTGGTTGAATGAACCAGTTTTGGGGATTCCCTTTATATAAGCAAACCACCGGTTGGATGGTTTATGGGGGTCATTGCAGGGTGTTGGTTGAATGAACCAGTTTTGGGGGGTCGCTTTATTTATATAAGCAAACCACCGGTTGGATGGTTTATGGGGGTCATTGCAGGGTGTTGGTTGAATGAACCAGTTTTGGGGGGTCGCTTTATTTATATAAGCAAACCACCGGTTGGATGGTTTGTGGGGGTCATTGCAGGGTGTTGGTTGAATGAACCAGTTTTGGGGATTCCCTTTATATAAGCAAACCACCGGTTGGATGATTTATGGGGGTCATTGCAGGGTGTTGGTTGAATGAACCAGTTTTGGGGATTCCCTTGATATAAGCAAACCACCGGTTGGATGGTTTATGGGGGTCATTGCAGGGTGTTGGTTGAATGAACCAGTTTTGGGGATTCCCTTTATATAAGCAAACCACAGGTTGGATGGTTTATGGGGGTCATTGCAGGGTGTTGGTTGAATGAACCAGTTTTGGGGATTCCCTTTATATAAGCAAACCACCGGTTGGATGGTTTATGGGGGTCATTGCAGTGTGTTCGTTGAAATGAACGTAATTTCTCTTCCTCCGATCCGACTACACCAAAACGATGCGAGATGCAGGTTCCACAGGAAGTTCCGGAACTCACCAACGGACACCGCATTCTGCTGCCGCGCGCTCATGCCGACATACCTCAAGGCGTCCAAGGGTTCGGAATGAACCTTCGTCGTAGCATGAGCTCTCAAAAGGCTGGGGGACCTTTGGGTTCCTGGGCTGTCCTCAGATCCCCTGCTAAAAGTGACTAAGCTTTAGTGGGTTGAATTTCTGCATGGAAACTCAACCACTAAGCCCTGAAAAGCTAAACAGCCAAGGAACCGGATGGCTGGGTGACCATTAGGTCGTGGAAAGAAAAACACTTTGTGAGGTATTTGGCAAGCAGTGAGAAAGGGTTCTCAGAAGTAAGTAGAAGAAAAGGGCCAAGTCACGGCTGACAGATCCAAAACACTTTACCTGAGAAAAACACTGGGAAAGAAGAAGCTTCAAGCCACTCACTCCTTGTTTTCCAGCATTCCAAAACGGGCCGGAAGAAATGTCAGTTTGTGGTTGACCTTTCACTTTCAAAAAGTGACAACTCCGTAGATGAGGTCAACTTCAGATTCATCTGCAGGACCGTAGTCATCAAAGGTGGTTCTCCTCGGTGGGGGATTGATATTCTCAAGGGAATGGTGCTCCTACTTTCGTCCGAGTGTCTGCCAGCCGATCTTGCGTAGTACTCCGTTTCGGGAGGACTCCTTCTGCGGGGCGGTGGGAGAGTCTCCCACTTTCCTGAGCGACGCGACGCTTTCCGCGTCTGCATGTTCGGGCAAAACAGACAAATATGAACTGTGGTGCTGAAAAACTTGCCATATTTCAAGAATATGTTGACATGTCTCATTTCCTGAGCGGGTTGGCCAAACAAACTCTCAACTGTTTGTTTACCACTGAACTGGTCTTCCCAAACAAGTGTAAAGTTCAGGAGCTAAGGAGTGAAGAGTCTGGCAATCCTCACAGTGCGCGTCGCGCTTTCAGTGTTGGATCTTCCTCTGCCCCCTTTGCTTCAACGGACTCACCAGCTGCACCCAGTGAAGCCTGGTAGAAAAATAACCGGAACCCTTTGCGGGTCAAGTCCTTTTTGAAGTGAACCATGCACTTTTCAAAGGGTAGCCTATACAAGCTATGAAATCATATTCCTCTCTACGCTTCAAAATAGGACCCAAAATGGGCAAGGCCTTGTTCGGGTTCTTGGAGTGACCCCCCCGAATCAGCGCGCCAAGATTCTCCAGCCACAGAATGCGCAAGGCAGGACAGCTCGAAAAGGGCTGGGCCAGGTCCAAATCAAAGGCTGCTGAGCGTGTCACCACCGTCACGTTGTGAGCCACCACGTTATCCTATCTCGGGCCAGGCTGCTTGATTTGTGTATTTTAAACCAATGAACACACAAGCACACACACACAAACTCATGTGGGTTGTCCTTCAACTGATTGAGTAGTGTCATGATGGTTGAGGATTCATGCCTTCCGGCTGCCCTGTCCTGGTGTAAGCGCAGCACCCCAGACGGTATCGCCACCTCCGAGGAAGTACGCCGCAGACTACTCAGCATGTCTTGAACAATCGGTGCTAAGCCAACACTTGTTGCTACTGTGGGCGCAGTGCCATTTCATGGTTCATGGAGTTTCACCAACTAATGCTGTCTGATGTATCATTTAGGGACGAAGGTTGATGCTCATGCATTGAGATTGCGGAATGGCACCTGTCACTGTCGCTACGTATGTAGGGTAATGGGTGTCTCATGAGTCCCCCCCAAAAGCATTACCCTGGCAAAACTGAATAAGTCTACAAATGCCGGCAAACAATAAATGACAAGGTTCTCCTGCTTAAATTGGCTGGATCCCATCAGTCCCCTCCCTGGCGGAAGCGTCTCAAGTATTCATCCTTTCAAACGCCGTGCCCTTGCTAGAAAGGCTGACAACAAATATATGAAACATCACAGAAACAAAGATCGAACAACATACCTAAAGCCAGTTGGATGCCGACATGTTCGGACCCCCCAACGAATGGCAGCCCCAGCCATCTCTAATTTGCGCAAATGCAAGTCACAATGACAGATTTGACCTTCACCTAAAATTTACAGTAATCCCAATCCACCCACAAGGCACGCCTGACCCAGTCCTCAACCAAGCTTTGGCCCAACGCTTCCCACATCCCTCACAACCCAGTTTGAAACTAGGGAATCTACTAAACTGGCCGAAAGAGAGCTTCTCAAAACAGGAGCCCCTCCCTTTTGGCGGGTTTCAAGGGAAAAGCACGAGAGGTTTCATGGGGCTCGGCGAAAAGCCGAACACCGAAAAACCGGAAAAGAAAAAAAGAAGAAGCTGAAACCGCTCGCCTCCAGCTCCTCGTTCTCGTCCTTCGTCTTCCACACGCGGCCAATGGCCCCGTTGAGCTCCGGCTGGTTCACCAGTCCCGTGAGCTTCACCGTGGAGCCTTGCTGCAGGCCTCAAGCGATGCGCTCTCCAAATGAGACCTCAACTAGGGGGGTCGTTGTGGTCTCTCTGTGAAGCAACCAATTGCCAGGGGCCCCCTAAGAAAGCAACCAAAAGGTGGAGGGGGGGAGGGGGTGCAACCATTGTTCATTTTCAACACTGACGTTTGTGATGCTGTGGATGGACGAAATCCTGCACCACTATGAAACCATAGGAAACCGTTGTTCGTTGGTAACAGGCGAATCATCAGTCCAGGTTGATTTTTTTTTGAGTGGTGCGAAATGGATCTCGTCAGTTCACTAGAAGCCAGGCAGCCAAATTCCTGGGCCGCCGCGCCAGCGGAGGGCACTTGACCCACTCCCAGCAGCGTGTGCTCCTGAAGTTGGGGGGCTGAGGGGTGGGTTGATCAAGGTCCTCCACGGAGGTTGGAATAAGGGGTACCAACTCTTTTTTTCTCTGTCTATTCTAGTAGGGGAACCCTCTCCTCCAAAACAAAAGGGTAAAAGAGCACTACTGGGGGACCTGGAAGGTGTTGCTTTTTGCCAAGTTTCGGCTGAGGGTGTTAGATTCCTCTTGATTTTGGTCCAACCGACCCGCAAAAGCTATGATTTTTTTCCCCTGCGATCTGAGAGCGTCGCATCAGGAGTCTATGCAATACCTGCAGAACTCCCCAGAAAGGAATCGTGAATTTACGGAAGCTGCAGCCGTAATTCATCCAATTCATAGAATGGGAGTCTATCCTTGAGGGTATTGGTTGGCCTGTGTTCAAGGAAACCGCTAATGATATGAATACTGATGCGAAGTGGTTTTGTGCCTCTGCAGAATTCTGGAGAACCAGACCAAAAAAAATGTGCCACATATTTTCTCATACTACCACAAGGGCCTAAATGCTTAGAGTGGCACTTCAAAACCAATTTAGCTAGCGACCATGGGAGCAAACGGTTCGTGATTCTCTAGCCCCTTCGATTATCCACCAATTCTCCAAACTTCACACCCCCCCCCACCCAACCCCCACACACCAACCAACCCCCACAACCCCCAACCACCCCAAACCCCCCACACCGACCAACCCCGACACCCTCCCCCACCCCACCCCCGGTGAAACCGCAGCTCCTGTGGGTCAAAGACCAGGTCCCCAAAGCGCGAGGCCGCGCGGTGGCCCAGGTCCAGGCATGGCTTGCTGGGGTCCACCTCATGGACCCGGCACCAAAATGGGGGGGGGTTCTACCCAAAAAAGACGGGGGGTTGCGGGGTCTGCGTGGGGTTGGGGCGAGAAAGGCAACTGTTGGCTTCCAACTTGAAGCCAAGAAGAAAAAAAAACTGGTACCCCCCCCAAAAAAAAAAACAAATCACACACAAACACGCGAAGCGCACATCCACTTCAGCTCAGGCACCGAGATGTTTGCCACGCGGCCGTCAAAGCGGATCACCTCGGATGGGAGTGGAGGGATTCTCAGCGAGGAATGCGGGAATCATCCCCAAACCATCCAGAAGCGGGCTCCTTTGAGAAAACCCCTGGAAAACCCTAGGTCGTTCCTTACTGAGAACCAGGAAGTCTAAGGTGGCAAGAAAGCAGGCTTGGAATGTCGGTGGCTTGAGCCGGAGGCGTTAAAATTACACAGCTGGGGTTGCGTGGGTTTTAGTCATTGTTTCCATACAGGTGCCATATGGTGCCATGTTTTCTCATTTTGAGCCACAGCCATATGCTAGTCTTTGTGCTTGCAACGCCGCGAACAATAAATTCAAATGACCCCTCGTGCCCACACACTAATTGAATGCTAGTCCCATTACGGGTCATGTGTCTCTAAACGGGGAAGCTTGCAAAGGAGCAGCGTCCTCTTGATTTCCTTCTACAAACCAAAATAGAAGCACACCCACTTGGACTCGGGGCGGGAGTTTGATATGTCAAAGTGGGGCAGGCAGAAGACTATGGACCCTTGTTCAGGCCGAACAAGATACGCTGGTTAAACACAAAAAGATGTGGTTATATGGGCAAATGAGCCTTTCTGCAATACAAAAGTGGGATAGCTCTCACCACCACTTCTTCCCCACGTTGAAGGGGATTTGGTATCATGAGCAGTGGCCCTAAACCCTGCTTGCAACAAACATGGACTGACAAGCAGGTCGGCCGCTCATGCGTGTATATGTTCTTTTTTGCGTGGCAACACAGGGCTAAGTTCTCGCTTTCCGAGACCTGATCCTTCTTTCCAGGAACCATAAACCTGGGGAAACGGGTTGCGTTGCTTGTTGAAAGAGCGATGGTTGAAGAGAATGGTCCAAAAATTGGGTAACGCCAAACTGGGTAGCCCTGATAAACGAAAAAGACTAAAACCCGCGGTTCATATCCTGGTAGTTTACTTTAGACCCATAGAATGCGGTAAGCCAACCGCTCAACCCCATGTGCGGCCCAAAAGGCAACGATCTGACTCATCAGCGCCTGTGCTGCGCTGTCGAAGTCTTCAGGTGGAGGGGCGCTAGGCAACCACTGCGGCTGTGTCCAAGGCCTCGAGTGGGTTTTCTTCGCCTCACTCCTGGTCTAAGACAACCGGATAGGGCGAGCCAACATCACTTGCTGGTGCGCTAGGTAGGGAATGACCGAGTCAGCTCAATTGAGCAACACCCTAAACCCAGTAACGTTGGATTCTACCAGGATTTCAATGATGGCTGCAACAAGTTGTATAGGCTATATAGCCCTGATCATCCCAATTTCATCGGCTCGTCATCTTAAGGGCCTCTAGTGTAAGATGGGGGGGAAGCTCCGGGAACTAAACCAACACCCTCAGCCAGAGTTCCAGATGTCGGTTCCGGCACCTCTTTCCAGGAAGAGAGCCCCGCTCCTTTCTATGGGTATGGGACCAAATTAAACCACCAATCGGACCGGATTGAGTCCTTTCCACTTGCCCATTGGGATAGCTCCATTTTGGGGTTATCAATTAGTTTTGACATCCACAGCCCTGGGGTGATTCCAACCATTACCTTCAACCACCGCTCTTTAAACCATGAACCCTGTTTCCCCTCGTCCATGGTTCTTGGTCCCATAATATTTTTCACATCCACTTGAATCAAAAACTTCAAACAAGGCGCATAGGTGTCCTTTTTGCGAAAAAATATATGGGTTTGCCTGGTGAATGGAATAAAACCAACCTAAACATTTAGTTGCTGTTAACCCCCTGCAAAAAGTTTAACTTTTGGGTTTAGTGAGAAACCCCACTTGATTTTAACCAAAAAGTGAAAGTCTAAAGATCCGTTACCCAACAAAAGTCGAGAAAAGGACGCCTATAACAAGGCGCCCATCCGCGGCCGTGAGCATCTCGGGGTCCATGATCAGCTGGCGCTCGTAGGCCTCCCGGAAGAGCTGGTCCCCGCCAGCCTCGAGCGAGCCGGCCGGCGGGCGAGCGAGCAAGCCGGCTGCGGCCCGAAAGGCCAGAAAAAGGGAAGCCTTTGGACGGGGGTGAACCAAAAATGATGCGAAAGAAAAACAAAACAGATGCAGTATATATATATATAGATTAATATGATAGATATATATATATATATAGATATATATATATATATATATGTACATATATATATACATATATATATATATATATGCTATTACATAGCTACCTGGCAATCTTCTTCGTAGATGATGCCCCTAGTTGGACTCCATACCTTGAACGAGGGAACAGGGGCTTCGTCACCGGGTGCCCATCACAGTGCCGCTGGGAGGCCGCCGAGGACGCCACCTGTCGCATCTGCTCCGCCCAAACGATCTTGCCGGCCGTGGCCGTGCGGAAGCTGCCTCGACCCAACCGGGTTACCGGTCACCGGTGATAACCGGTGGGTCCAGGTAGAAAAAGGTTGGTTGCTTTCTGCTCCCCTGCGAAAAGTGACTAACTTTTAGTGGTTTAATGCGGAAAACCCCTGAGTTGCCGAAAAAGTTCAAGTCCTAACATCCAAGCAAAACGCACCAAAGAAAAGGTTGCAACCGCTAGGTCCAGGCCGATTCCAGCATATGTCGAGAAACTAAAGGGATGGCCGAACACCAGGCCTTGCCGACTCCGCCAGTCGAGGCCAGGTTGGCCTTCCGTGGCCTGATTTGGCCCTAGGAAGGCGTGAACTTTGGGGGTGAATTTGGGGAACCCAGCAAAAGAGAACCACTGGGTTTGTCTCTTTAAAAGGGAAACCCTCAACATGGCAGGTTGCCCTTTGGTCACCCTTTCAGGCCTCCCTCAAAAAACCAGACACCCGCCGGGGGGATTCCCCACATCCAAATCCGCGGCCGAGCGTCGCAGCGCTTGCTCGGTGGGCAGGTCTGCAGAGCCACCGGGAAGCCTGAGGCGAAATCCGATCGCTGGACTTCCCGCCAATAGACCTCTGGTGGTCATAGTCAAAAGGGCATTGCTTCTTGGTGCTTGGAGTTGAAGCCCTTCCAACAAAAAGGAATTACAAGAATAGATGTAATGTTAACCCCAGATTAACAAACCCCTGGTTGATTTTGATTGGGGGGTGTCCCCGTTTATTGGGGATTCATCACTTTTGGAGGAAACACTCCCCTAATAATGGGACGGGTTTATTAATCCATGGTCAACTTAATGTTTCCAGTTCACGCTATATGGCTAGGGTTAAAAAATAGGTGCCCAAAATGGGTTGCCCTGGTAAATGAAAACATGGACTAAAACCTGCGGTTTTCTGGCCGTTTAATTTTGACCCATACCCATATTGGTCTCTTTCCTCTGACCTCTAGCTTTACACGATCGTTACCCCTTGGTACTTATAGTGGTAGCTGGAAGCACTGGTCAATGTTCAAGCGAAGCTTTGGATTGATCGGGACCAAGATAAGGACCTTCAGGGTAAGCTCGGTTACCAGAGCTCGCCTTACAACAAGCAGATTGTTTCATGTTTTCTACCGACATCAGTTGTTCAGGGCAAACATATCACATGTTGACAAACATATTACGAACATTAAGCCCTTTCGGATGGCTTGCAATCAGCCTTCATGGTCGGATGACCACCAAGACTCGGGGCATTTCTTTGAAGCGACCCTTTTGGGTCGCGCTTTGGAGGATAACCCAAAAACAGCTCCAAATCCCTTGGGTTCCGTGCCCTACTTGGGAACAAGCTGGCAGAACCGGATAGTTTGAGGTGGTGTTCTTGGTTGAAGTCCATGTTGCCATGGGCTCTTCCATGTGCTTTCCGTGGCCTTTTTTGGATTTTGTGCTGTTTTTGCAGGGCGGAGGGGGAGGGTTGGGGGGCATAAAGATATCCAGTCGTGGCAATTCTATGCACGCTGAGTCCAATATGCTCATTTTACCTGGTTCCTGACTTCAGATGTCTGACTACTTCGTTCTGAACATGCGTAACATGTCAGTGTTACGATGCATGTTGTTAATGGAAAGTGTTCACAATTGCATGATGGGCACGTGCCAAGCTACCAAACAAAAGGCTTTCGCGCCCAGGTGTTTAATCAACCTGTGACCTATGCGAAGACACACTCACACGCGCTTCAAACGGTGTTTCAATTGGAACCAAATGCGAAACCGAGCTTTTGCTCGTGGACCTATTTGGGTCTGTGTCAAAATGCGGTGCCCCCCCAAAACAAATGGGTTCGCTTTGGTTCCCTTGAAGCCAGCCCCAAAAGGGGTAACTTCAACAACACAGACCCATTCGACGAAACCATTTCGTGGGACCGATGAAACTTGGTTGACCCCTCTGAAAAGTTCAACTTCTTGTGGGTCCAATAAGTCCGAAGGAAACCAAATGGATCCCAAAAAGTTCAAGCATAAAGTCCATTGGACATGTTGAAGACTCCGAAAAAAATCAAGTCCACACAAACTGCCATGTCCTTGAACTCTCGGTAGCTCCGAGTCCGGCTCCCTTCCAAGCACCAAGACTTGATGGTGAGGGAATGAGGGCAGCTCGTGGTTTCCTTTTTGCGGGGACAAAGACCTGGGCTCATTCCAACTCATTCCCTATCGCACCGGCTGGCGAAGCTTTTGTTATGAAATAGCAATGCTGACCCCTACTCATCAGAACTCAGTTTAGGTGTCCCTGCATTAAGTTGGGAATCAGATCACGTTTGGACGGGCCCCCACCCCCCATCAGGGCCCCGGCTGGGTGAGCAGTTGCTGCAGCTCCTGGGGCGTCAGCGGCTGCGGCGGCGCGGAGGGCTGCAACTCCTGATGGGACGATGGCCCGATGTCCGGATCTGGCGGGGGCCCCGGATGGGGGCAAAACCGGGAGGTGGGGCGCCATTTTTCGGTATGCAAATGGTATGCAAATGTGGAGAGGTTAGAATATGTTTTCGGTATGATCCCCCCCAAAAAAATATGCTTGCTCGCCCCCAAAAGGAAAACACAACTGTGGGGCGTCCATTTTATATGGAGTATGCAAATGGTCCTCCAGTGGAGAGGATAGAATAAGGGTACCAACTTTTTTCTGTAGTCTATTGTAGTATGGGTATCTCGACTCCCTTCAGTTTTGTGGAAGTGAGGCCACCCTCTGAATCGTGGAAGCGGACAGTCACTTGGGGCGTCCCCCTAAACGATATTCAAAGGAGGGGTGTCTTTATGTGCAAATGGGATGTGGACCAATCTTCCCTTCAGCCTCAAAATGGCCATGGGTAATTGACTTGTCCCATGTGGCGAAAGTGAAACCTTCCGGTGGCTTCCCTAACGGTCACCTCATGTAGTATGAAATGGAAGCCTTTGCTTTTTCGGCCCCTGGCAAAAAATGGACATATGTCCAGTGGTAGGTTCCCTTCAAACCTGAAAAGTAGTGGAAGGCCCCCCGCCCCCCCAAGCAAAGTATGAAGATATGTCCTGCGGTTTTTTCGCCCCACAAGGGTAATATGAAGATAAGTCCAGTGGTTCCCTTTGAACCTTTGTCCCAGTGGTAGTGGTAGGTTGAACAAAAATGCTAAGAAGTAGGTGTCAAACTTGTGGACCCAACAAAAGTGGGTGGTGTCCATTTTGGTGTCACTTAAAAGCCCGCCACAACGGGTTCCCGGAAGGAAGCAATCCATCGCATGTCGATTAGCACTATGCGAATATTTGCATCCCACAAGACGCTCTGACCTTGACCTGGTATGCATTTTGATTGGGACCATGTGACGTATCATGGGCCTAGAAGAGCACCTGACCATTGAGACTCTTTCTATAGCTCCCGTCTTGGCCACCTGACCATTGAGGAACACCATTCACGCGAGGATTGATGTCAACCAAACATTTCTGGGGGTTCCACTACCCTCCCATACCAGCATGGAATGGAAATCTTCTCCAGGACCCTCCCCCCCAGGATACAAACCGCATCTATTGATCGGGCAAACATTCTGGGAACTAAGGGTTCTTCAAAAGGACTCGGATTCGGCCGGAAACTGCAACGAAAACCCAGGTCTCGATGTCATTAGCCGAAGACCGCTTCGTTGCCATAACGGTCAAGCCCAGTGCAAGATGTCCCCTGATTCAGCTATGGCCACCACATTGCTCAACACCTATTCGAAACCCAAACCAAACCAGCAGCGGCCACGGGAAAAAAAAGAGACTTTTTTGGTCGGTTGCGTTCAAAGGAACCTGAAACCGTCAAAACATAAAGAAACAAAGAGCACCTTTGAGTGTCTAAATATGCGGACGACCCCGCCAACCATTCCCGCACAGCTGAGTTGTCCTACCCTCCCAGCTGACTTGGGATAGTTTTCAGGTTTGAGGCAACTGACAAAGCAAGAGGTAGTCTTAGTATCTGTGACACAGGGTTGGATTCAGGGAAGGTGTTCATGGCAGGCCAACCAGCCAGGAATTTCACAGAACTTCATGATGTTTCCAATAAGGTGGTTTCAAGCCTTTTCACAACAACCAAGGGTGCCTCTAAAAAGAGAAATCTCCACCTTTTGATCAGCCAGGGGGCTGATGTACCACGCACAGATTCAAGCTATCGATGAGCCACGTTGTGCGGCAGTGCGTTGGACAGTCAAGGATGCCACCATGGCGATTTCAGGTTTCACTGCTTTTCATTGCAGGCCAGGTACCAGGGGGGAAGAAAAAAGAACACGTAGCTTTAAAAGGCAGACTCGAGGTCGTTTCAAGAGGCCGTTTCAACCGGCCGTTTCAGATTGTAATGTGTACCAGCCCAGATAGGGAGGGCCGATAACTTTTTCGTTGCACGTGCTTCTTGACATCTACGCCGACTGAACGCCGTCTTCAACCACACGCGTCAAACAAAAAAAACATCCCCCGGTCCTCCGTGGGCGAGCCGGGAGGCGCCGAGGCGCCCAACCTACGCAGAAGCTCACCCTTTTGCTTCAGCCCTACAAAAACGAGAGTGCTAGATACCCTTTTAGACCAACATCTGAAACTAAAAGATATTCTGAACTGGGCTGCCCGTTTTCGGATCCGCTAAAAGCTGAGAACTTGTATTGGGTTAAGTGGAAACTACCACTAAAGACTAAAAGGGCTAGAAGGCTAAGGGGATGGCTGGGAGCCACCAAGTAATGTAACCCCCGTGTTACTAACCCGCCTTGAAGTATTGGATGGGGGCACCCGGACCGGCTTGGTCGGGGTGGGGACCACTAATACTATGCTAACATTGAGCGTAATCCTGGCGCAGGATCTTCTTTTGGCCAGCAACCATCCCTTTGCAAAGGGCGGGTGTACCTTGAGTATTTCCCGGTCCGCCCGCCCAGTGAGGTTTTGCCATCCACGGCAACAATCTTTGCCCCAGCACTTCCTTCTTTTTTGACCACAAACATTGCACACCCCAGAACAAGTCACTTCACAGCCTTTCCGAAATGCAAAGACAAAAGTTAAGCCACTCAAAATGGATCTAAATGGGAGTGTGCTCTTTTGAACGTAGCCTTGTGGCTATTTTCGAGAGAGGGAGAGATGGATAAGGAGATCCCAAATCTGAGTTGGACAGGGTTCTCGACATTTCCTCCTTACACATCACCCCGCCAAGGGAATACTGGCCCCAAACAGTGATGGTTAAAACCACCAGATTTGGAAAATCGGGGAACCCTGGACTTTTCTCGCGTGCTGGCAGAAAGCTCCGGGTCATCTAGCAAAGGCGTCCCCGCAGGCATGGCGACCGCCGCGTTTTCGCTTCTGATGCTCAAAGCCGGGTCTGGAGACCACAGATTTGTCTAGCTAAAGATTGTGGGTGCCCTGCCTGGTCGGTTCCAAGGGAAATCAAAGGGGAAGCGCCCAACATGTATTTCGAGCGGTTCCGATTCCTGTTTGAGACACACCCAAATGGGAAAAACATCCGACGGTCAGACTGGATCTTGGATCTGTCGGAGGCCCATTCCTGTGCTCTCCTTTTTCGTGCAGCTTGTGCTGTGTGCCTGAAAGCGCGACATGGTGGATTGCATGGCTGTGTGTTTTTTGAGGCTACCCTTTTGGGGGTGGTTTTAAAGGGAACCAAGACGAAACCACCCATTTTGGAGGTTCCCACATTTCAAGACACACCCATATACTCATAATAAGCCGCGGACTAGGATTGGTTGATTCCGCCTCCTCTGGAGCACTTCCGATGGGGCTTGCGGCCCTTTGACATGTTGCTTTACACACCACCCAGCCCGGAAGGGCTAATTACTTCTTGCGGCGGAATGACCTTTGAGTGTGGTCACATGAAGCTGGACTTTCAGAAGCCGAATTGCAGGGTTCGCACGTCAGCCGTATGAGCCACTTGTTTCCCCGAATGGGGAACAACAGTGCCGTGCTTCCGAGATTGTTCCAAGAATCCCAACACCGGACTTGTCTAGCAAATAGGATCAATTTGGCTTGGTGCTGCTCAGGAAACACATGGCCATGGGTCACAAAAGGTCGGTTATTTGCCAGTAAACATCCCAATCTAACCACTAAAATAGACTGAAATGGGTGGTGCACCTACCCCAAAACGGTACCATGGGTTTTGACCCACCGGCACATGATTGGGGCACAGACCTCAGAACTGCCCCGGGAAACCCTGACCCACATTCAAAGACTTGTGCCATGAATTTGACCCTGGCATTCTGGGGCCTGTCAACAGTACCCTGACCCTCAAAGATCCGAACCCCAGAATTTCAACAGTTCGAACCCCAGAGTTTCCCTGGGATTGGATCTTTGGGTCCTGGCAAGGCAAAACCATGCTCGGCACAATCTGCCGCCTGTCATCGAGGGCCCAGATGCAGGCCTGCAAGACTCAGTGAAACACCCTGGTACCCTTCTTGTTGTGTGGCTTTGGGGGTACCTTCCATGTCCATTCTGAACCCAGGGATCTGAATCTTTTCAGGAAACCATCAAAAACCCAGGGGGAAACAGCCGGTTTTTGAAAAGAACGATGGTTGAAAAGAATGGGGAAGCAACCCCTAGAGTGGTTTGCGCTTTGGTTGATCCCAGCGTGCGCTGTAAGCCTACATAACAAGTTGTGCCCAGAAGTTCCATCACGTTGAACCCCTGTGCAAACGATTCCTCCTTATCCCTTCAACGGGGGCCAGGGGGTGGTGTAAGCAAACTTGGCAACCAACGCTTTCCTGCGTGCCTACAACGATGCCCTTCTCCGATCGCTGGTTCGACCCTCATGGGCATAAGTATGGAAGCAGGCAGTAGATCTTTTTTGGTTTCTATCAGGGAAACTCGGGTTTGTCCTTTTCTTCGACTTTTGCTGCCGACCCGCCAAAAATCAAAGAGCGCTTTAACAGGGACCTAAAAGGCACACAGCTCTGTGAAAACAAAGCACGGTGTTAGCCTGCATGACACAGCGGCCCAGCAACATTTTTTGCTGCGCCAGCGGTAGTTTTGCTTCGGTGCAGCGGGAGAATCCTGTACGCTGTGAGTTCACGTCCGCGTCAAAAAGCCAAAACAGCCCAGCCTCGATGTTAAAACAGGGGTTGCTGGGGAAACCAAAAACACCGCATAGCTTAGGAACCAATCACAGAACGCGATCAGCTTGATGATTCTCCCCTGTCATCCTCAGGTATCAACCAGAATGTGGTCGTATGCGGCTTGCTTAAAATCGTTTCCAAGTCACGCCTCGGGCTGTCAGCCGCGTCCCATTGCGCAGAACGCAAAAAGCGCTACTGTAGCCACACCCGCCACTGCCAGCTTCGCAGCTCTGCACCGCCCAATTGCGTTGCCAGCACCGTGAAAGCTGGCGCTGGCGCCCATGGTGGCACCAAAAGCATGTCAGCACTCGGCTTCCGGAACCAGTCGCTACCTCAGCTTCAGAGAAGGTGTCCCCGTCAAGGAATAAGTGATCAGTGGAGTTTGACACCTGCACCTCAGCACACTTGCTGGTATTCAACTTGGATCTGCAGTGCGATCCCACCCACAGGAAACTGCTTGAGGCCACACCATTGAAACACAACAACGTTGACATGCACGATCATAAACAACCCAATGATTCAACATACTTGAACATTTGCCTCGCAAAAAGCCCTCTCACACTTAGTTTCTTGACATGAAATAAAGGAACCCTTAGCTTCCTCCCAAGGGCCGGTCGTTCATCCGCCTCTTCTGTCTTTTGTTTATTCTGGGGCCTGTCAACAGTACCCTGCCCTTGAAATGGCCATCATGTGCAGCCGTGCAACCTCCGGCTCTTGCTCCTTCTCCTTCTGTTCCTTCTCCTTCTGCTCCTTTTCCTTCTCCTCCTTATTCTTCTGCTCCTCCTTATTCTTCTGCTCCTCCTGTTGTTTGCCCAGTGGGGTATGGGCAAGAAAGACATGGCACCTCTCTTGGTAGCTTCATTTAAACACACCCCCACCCAAAGAACGTGGTAAAACGACCGCCGTCGGGCCACTGGGTCCTCTGTGAGGTCTGCCCAGCTCGCGCTGTTTGGACATGGCTAAGCGCAATTCCGGGAAGCCAGGACCACCCGAGCGCCTTGAGCCCAACTCTTGCCTGCATGAGCGCACTGCATCCACACTTCAGAAGCTTTCTAAACCGCCGGGACAATTGGGGTTGATGTCTGATTGTTTAATTGAGAGTTGCACAAGCCTGTCCAACATGCGCTCGGAAAACAAGCTTTTAAACCGAGGGAACTGCAACTGAGGTGCATTAGAAGGCATACCTCTTCCCCCGTCCAAACCCTTGTGCGGCGACCCGTCAAGACCTTAACCATCCCTGCATACCCCGCTTGGCCAAAGCTTCGGAAACACCCTCGAGCTTTTGGATCACGGGATCCCAATACTCCGCAGGTTTCCCCCGCTGACATGGGATTTTGGCGAGTCACACCTACCTGCTTGTGAACACTAATTTGGCTGTGGGTCAAAACCAATGGTACCATTTTGGGGTAGGTGCACCACCCTTTTCAGAACCTATTGTAGTGGGATTGGGATGTTCACTGGGGGTACGGGATTTTGACCCATGGCAATTTGGCGAGCGTACCCAACGTCATCCGCTTTCTTAGGGTGGAGGAGTTGAATAGCAGCTGTTGCGGGAGTGAAGCTGCGATTAACCCCAAGGCCCGGCCTTCGTCTAGAAAGGTGGCGTGTTCAAAGTCGAAGTCTCCGTTCTCATCAAACCTGCTCTTGTTGCGAGTCCATCTCACCGGGCAGTACGGATGACTTTGGTGCCATTGGTGGCCTCAAGGGGGAGCTTTGTGGATATTTTAGTTCTATGTCTACTTTCTCAAGAAGTCTTTAAAGGGGGATTTCTTGGCACAGCAAGTTCTAAACCCAACTCCGCAACATTACTGGTGGTTGCGCAAAATGTTCCTGATACCAATATGGGTCATTCCCATGGCTACTTGGTCATGGTCAAAGCGCTTTCCCTTGGTATCATAGAAAGCGGCAGCCTAACACTAGGCTTGACTACAACCCTGACACTGGTTTGACTTAATTACTGTGAAAAGGGTTGGAGAAATGGATCCGTGCTCATTCCATGAACCAGCACAAACAACTCATGATTCTCCACGAAGCCTGCCTTGGACGAAACAAGCGGCTCAAGCATTGATGCTTCCCCCTGAAGATTCACCTGAAAAAGAAGGCACATCCAGTTTCATGATTGGAATCTCCTGTTGGGATTCAAGGTTGATTAACAACAACTCGTTTCAGCGGCTTGACATGCACATATTCTAAGCATCCGTTTAACATTGCTGCATGGGAGTTCCAAACACTTTCCTCTACAAGGGCAAGATTTCAGGTAACACCCCGGCCCTTTCGAGGCTCGTGCTTCTCTTCCGTTTCTACCACTTGTGATTGGCAGGCTGTTGCTTCCCAAAGATTCCCAAAGAAGGATCCCACCAAGAAAGGACAACCCGCCATAAATGGGCTTAGCTTTGTGAACCCTTATAGGAAAACATGCTATATAGGGATGAAGGAAAACACGTGTCCCCCTCACTCCTCCCCATCTCCGTGACTGTGAGGTGCAGCTCTATGTTTGAAGCAACTGAGTCTCCGAGTTCATCGAGCCGTCAAGATGTGCTTTGGTTGAGTGTTCCAATTCCAGAAAACATCGCTCAGTTCTGTCGATTCTGTCGAGGTGTGGCTACAAATTTGAGGACCAGCAATTCGGTGATTTAAATCTATGAATCCATTTACCTGTATCTTGTTGGAGCCACAGCCATGATTTTGGGTGCCCCAACGAAAGCATTCAGTAGGGCTCGCCCCTCGCGGAAAGGTTCGCGATGCCTGCATGGGGGATTGACTTGGCGGTTACATCGTCTCGCCAACATGAATCTCACTTCACATTGGCCAGGAGAGATGATGGCTTTAAAATTATTCACCCCTTCCCCTTTTCAAGAACTTGACACCAGGTGATGTTTAGAACCACCATTTAGCAAGTTGGTCGGCAACGGAGCGATACTCCGCAGCGCCTGTTGATCCTGAAGTGGATGATGTGCCCAAACCTGAGAATATCTAGTCAAAAATGGACAATCAAAGGGAGCCAAAAGGCTCCCAGCAGCAGTCTACATGAAGCCTCTCTCAGTTTCGGCTTGTTTGGAGGTGTCCCTTTTTGGGGTTCCAAGGGAAACCCAAAGGAACCCACTTTTGTCTTCCGCAACACCACAACACGCGCACTGATGAAAACTCCGGCACGAATATTTGAGACATGATCAATCCCAGTGAGAATTTCTGCTCAAACCATGCAAATCACGAGGAAGAACATCCGCACCCTCCCTTACTTCATCTACCCGGTCGTGAGTGCGGCTAACTTCTGGCCAAGGTGTCAGCATGGAACCCATTTTTGGCTCCTAGCAACACAACTCGAGCCCTTCAAATGATCCTTTGCAAGATTCGAAATTGGCTGAAAGCAGTTCGTTGACGCCCAACACAAGGACTGATATTCAACGCGACCAGCGTAAATCCAAGGCGAATTGGCTCGAAGCTTCTAAGCACGTTCCCGAATTTCCTGGCCCCTTAATCATGCTCCTGCTTAACGAGAAGCCCCACCTCTTGCCCCCTTGCGCCCTCGCCTATCTATACCATGCTCCTGCATGGTCGATGCATCCTCTAGGTCTATGAGGTAGCTGGTGTGCCCTGGCAAAACTTTGGCGAACTTCTCACGAACCAGCACCTTCCGGGAATCGGAGTTTGGTCGATACATGCCATAGGAGGTTTCTCACCTTTCGCACATCTGGACAACAAACACAGCCCGGGAGAAAAAACAAAAATGATCAGGGTCAATCTGGATGATTCACCAGCTTGAAATAAGCAACTCTCAGAAAGGAAACCTCAGGATGCAGATTGCAAGCCTTCCCGGAAGATGAGGTTGCTACAATTTGCCCAAATGTTTCCGAGATGCAAATGGTGCGGCATGCGATGGACACTCACCACATGAGTCTTGGCCGGATAGTCAACTCTTTGTTGGTTTGTCGCATCCCCAGCATATGTCTCGCCTTGAAACGTACTGTAATTAGCAAAAGCCTGTGTACTGGGGACATGATTCTATTTGATGGCATCTGGATGTGTTCAGTCACATGTCCAAACAGGCGCAGTTTTCTGGGCATCATGAATCTTAACAATGATACTGATTGTATGGTGGGCCTGGTGGGCCAGCAACATCACAAGCATGGCAAAAACAACGTGCTTCCAAACGCGCGAATCAGCATGCACTAGTGTGAGCACGGAAACGACTTTGTTCAGTGAGAACCCCGTCCAACCAAAGGCACCTCCTTCAGAAGCAACATACTCCCCTTCAATGCAAATCAACTAAACCCTCCCCCCCCAAAGAAAAAATACAAAAACTAAACAAAAAAGAGAAACCTCGTTTTGGGGACCCCTTTTTGGATGCCCTCGGTTAATTTGCAGGGAATGGGAAGCCATTCCGTTGAACTCCTGTCATGGTCGAGTCTGAATTGCCAGCTGTATTTAAGCTCTGCTGTCAACAATATACCTGGAGTCGTCATGAGGTTTCAAACATGGGCCTGAGACTGATAACCTCATGAGCCTCCAAAATGGTGCCATGAAGCTTCAAAATAGTTTCTTTTGAGACTGGTATACCGAACCGTACCCTCCCAACAAGGAAACCTCACAAAGAGCCTCTTTTTTGGAATCTCACAAAAAGGTCCTCCAGGCACCTTCCCTTCGGTTTCATGTTCGAAGTGATAAAGCCCGAAAGCCCACCACCGCTCCTTCCAGAAAGAATTCGCCGGCTACTTCTGCGGACAGAAGCTGTCTGGCCTGGCAGCTTTCAGCGACTTCAAAGACCCAGACCTGGGAAGGGGGGGGTGTGGCATTGAGAAAAAAGGAAGGGTTAAAACAAGAGTTTGGCAGGGTCCCTTTAAAAAAAAAGGGCGGCGAGATTAAAATTGCAGACCCAAGGGTTCAAGAGTTGGCTGATGCTTTAGAGCCTTCAGTGACCCGAACTCGGTGGAACAAGCATTGGACGCCTTTGGGATTGCAATCAGGGATCCTGGTACAAGGGGTTCCCATTCTTTGGGGGAGCGAGCCACCAAAGCAAAGGGGAAAACTGCCAGAACTGGCTGTGCACAGCGTAGTACATAGGTTTGTCTGTCCACTAAGTTTCGAGGGTGTTCTAGCCAATCCCCCATTTTATCCGGTGCACGCCCCAGGCCGAGTGGACTAAGAGGCAGAACAAGCAAAAAAACACATTTTGTGCTTAACTTGCCACATTTCATGACGAAGATACTTCCCTACCAGAACAACCAACAAGTTTGCTTACTCAACATTCACCCCATGGATTATCAAGCCGAGATGCCGCCGGGATGCCCAAGCGATGCCTGAAAGCAGGGTTCGCGAGTCGCATTTCGCGTGAGCAAGCACCTACTGAGATGCCTGCGTCACATTATCTCAAAGACAAAACATAACTCTGTTTGAATCTAGTTCACTTCACGCATTCAATTCGGGAGACTAGCTGCAATCTCCAGAGGGTACCCTTTCCTGCCGCTTGCCTGCAACAACAACCGCCGTTTCGCGAGGGTTCCCTTAATCCCGTGCTCAACAACAGGCCGGGGGCTTCTAGACAAAGCACTCGATGAGGCCCTTCAGCTCCATGACACTCGTTTCGGGCAGGAGGTCGAAGATGAGCTGCCTGCGCTCAACAAAGCATCGTTCAAGTGAAGGTTTCCTTCCCAGTAGATCCCACTTACTACTTCAAGGGGCAGGGGCTGGGTACTTAGCAAGTGGTTAGTAAGCCTGGTTATAACCCACTTGCCATGGTTATGAGTCTCCTCAGTGGGTTACAACCAGGCTTACCAACCACTTACCAAGTACCCTGCCCCTTTCAGTGTACGTATTCAGGGATTTCCCTCTTGACTTCTGAATGCTGATTCCCCTTGGTTCCCCACTGTAATACCTGAAAACACCAAACTTTGCAACGGGCGCCCTTTCTTCATGTCACAGTTTGGATGATCGTTGAACGAGACTTCCAAGCACCCAGGCCCCAAACATTGCTCATAGTCGCACAAGTCAGTCTTAGGCTGTGGCTGCTGTGGCTCCTGCCAGGCTATAGCTGCCAATCAGTAAGCCACATTCAACTCATTGTTGTCCCTAGCTGTTTGTTTTTTGACTCTAGTCAGCAACACCCCCCCCCAATTCCTCCATGGTAACTTGGCAAGTGCACCCAAATCAATCTTTTTTTTGCAGCAAATTGAATACGTGTTCAACATGTTCTCCGTTTAACCCAAGTTTTTTCACAAGCTTATTATAGTGCCTTACTATGTTGGTCGTGCGTAGGACTTGTACGAACATATTGCCTTGATTTGATGTACAACAATACGCAAAAGAAACAACTCTTGGGCATGTTTGTGCATTCTAGAACGGCGATATTGACATAATATTAATGAGGACAATAGATCTACCCAATAATACATTATTTGCTTATTGCTTGCATTGGCTTAATCAGTTGTGGCCCAAGGTACAGCTTATTTGATGTTCGTCCAAGTTCCTAAAAGACAAACCACACATGTTCTTTGCTTAGCCGTGTTCGGTGGTCTCCGCCTTGCGCATCTCAAAAGCACATCTTCGTTGAAGAACTGTTGAAACGCGAGCCGAATCTTCCTGACTGTGCATTCTGTGTGACCCTCACTGGTAAAATAATTGCTCTGGATGTCGAGCCAAATGACACTCCATCCGAAACGTGAACAGCGAAAATGCAGGACACAGAAGTCTTCCTTTGGGATGGTGACTATTGTCCCGTTAAGAAACATGACACTGGCGCTAGGGTGAACTGAACCTCCCATAGTTTGCCGCCTTCAGTTACGTCGGAAAACCACCTTCGACCCTTCGATCCTTCGATCCTTGGGGCTCGGAAGCCCGCACAAATCCACAGAGCTCCTGCCCTCCACCCCGGGCAAGGGGAAAAAAAACACACACACACACACACACATGTTTGAGCAAATCTCAAAATGTGTTTCAAGGTCTCTCGCACCTGGCCAGTCATGACTCTTCCCCATTACAACCAAACCCTGTGGGTGTTTCGGAAAATCAGGAGCTCACCCAGTTGCTCTATGTTGATTGATGTAGATGTGCGATTCCATCCCTTGGCCAAACACTTCACTACCTACCAGCACAACACAAACTCGAAACGCCCTGAATGGTACCCCTTGCTGTGCTGTTTTGAAGGGAAAGCAAGCCCGTTTAGATCCTGCGCCGAATTTCAAGACAGACCCAAATCGATCCAAATCGTGGACATCATTTATAGGGGAATTCATCTGGCGGCCCAATTTGAAAGGATGCCCACCAGCCATGTTAGCCAAATGCAATAATGGCCTGAATATATAGTTAGAATGGGCTTCTGCGGTACTTTGACATCGCATTGAGTCCTCATAAAAGCAACGAGTGATTCATGGTCCGGCTTCAAATTCTCACTCCATTTGTTCACCCTGACGTCACCCTGACCTACTTGGGCAAGCTGGGCCTTTCTTTCCCTACGGGAGCCCATGCACTTCTCGGCACCCTCTGATGATGAGGTCGCCCAGTCCAAGTCAAATGGGTGTCTTTCTTGGAATCTTCTTGCGTGGTGAAAAGGACATGCAAAGGCTGGTACCTTTTTGGGGCAGCTTGAACAAAAAGCCAAAGAAGAACGCGATATAACGCAATGTTCGGGTCCATACTCAAACACACCCCAAAAGAAATCACAGCACCAAACCAACAAGCATACATTTTTTCACAAAGCAAACAACAGAAACAAAGACATAAAGAACAAACAACACATCAATAAAGCAAGCTGGTTCTCCAGTTGCTTTCCCCCAAGACCTCAGTAGAGACTGTAATTGTCTCGGGGGTGTTGGGCGCTCAAGCCAATCCTTGGCCTTGAGGCGTACTTTTGGAGCTTGCGCTTGCCCTTCACGGTCTCCCACACAGCAGTACTGGATGACGCCGGCCTCGTGGATTTCAGATATCGCGCCGAGCAGATTCACTCCGGGCAGCAAAATGGCCCGAACAGGCTTATGTGGGCTCCCGGTGTTCAAGGACGAAATGAAACCCAGCCAGTACCCTTTCTAGCAACGTCCACACAATATATGTACATACATACATACATAAAAATACACGCCTCCAAAATTATTGCACAAGGACAAGTTGCCAAAAGCAAAGACTCCGGGAAGCCCCGAGCTTCGAGAGACAAGCAAGTGTCAGCTTCCAGGCTGAATGCACGCTGCCTGTTCTTCAGCAAGCTATCCCACACACACACACACAGCAACCAACACGCGCACACGCACACGTACGCCAAAAACACACAGACACAGACACAGACACAGAGACACAGAGACACAGAGACACAGAGGCACAGAGACACACAGACACGACAGACAGACAGACAGACAGACAGACAGACAGACAGACAGACAGACAGACAGACAGACAGACAGACAGACAGACAGACAGACAGACAGACAGACAGACAGACAGACAGACAGACAGACAGACAGACAGACAGACAGACAGACAGACAGACAGACAGACAGACAGACAGACAGACAGACAGACAGACAGACAGACAGACAGACAGACAGACAGACAGACAGACAGACAGACAGACAGACAGACAGACAGACAGACAGACAGACAGACAGACAGACAGACAGACAGACAGACAGACAGACAGACAGACAGACAGACAGACAGACAGACAGACAGACAGACAGACAGACAGACAGACAGACAGACAGACAGACAGACAGACAGACAGACAGACAGACAGACAGACAGACAGACAGACAGACAGACAGACAGACAGACAGACAGACAGACAGACAGACAGACAGACAGACAGACAGACAGACAGACAGACACACAGACACACACACAGACACGCACGCACACGCACACGCACACGCACACCCACACGCACGCGCACACGCACACGCACACGCGCACGCACGCGCACGCACACGACGCGCACGCACGCACGCACGCACGCCTGCTGCATCAAACAATCAAACATGCATACGTACCTAGCCCTTTGCGGTGCGTGTTGCTTTGGTCAAAAGAGCATGGTTGATAGCTAAAAGCGTTGATTCACTGCAGAAGTGCAGTTTCGCGCTTTGTTGGACAATGGTTGTGTACAGTCGCCGTTCGGTCAGGGAAAGTCACTGCTCGGTCAATTGTTGCCACCTTCACGGATTTGACCCAAAAGACTTCAGCCTTCCCGATATTTGGCCATGGGTCAAAAGCCCGTGCCCCCAGTGAACATCCCAATCCCCACTAAAATAAAGCCTAAAATGGGTGGTGCACCTACCCCAAAATTGGCGACCCACAGCCATTTCCCTTCAACATTAGCCGAAGGAACTGGCTGCACATGGTCCAAGCTGACCTGCCAAACACATCCCAGGGAAAATCCAGTGAGCCCTGAAGGAGCTTTTGTCGAAAGGCAGAAAGAACGATGCGCAGCTTGGAAAGGCATGCACCTGCTATACTGCATTGCCCCAAAGGCTCTTAATCATCCTGCAATCAATCCATACATGGAACTCACATGTTCAACAAGGAATCTCCTAAGCGACCAAATGTTCAAAATGGATCATAGCACCCAGAAAATGAATCGAGGGCACCGAAAAGACACTGGTCCGTATGTTTTCTGCCCCTTGGGTCGAACGATACTGGGCTGCCCTCAGATCCCCCGCTAAAAGTTGAGAACTTTGAGTGGGTTAAATTCGGAAACCACCACTAAACACTAAAATAATCTAAAAAACGACTGAACCGGATGGCTGGCTTCGCCACCAAGGTTACGCATCTTTTTGCTCTGTAGGGTCCAAGGCTCGCGCACGTTGACCACCATCTCGAAGCCCTAGAGCCCGTTTGATATAACCCACCGGTGGATGTTTTCGCAGAAACCGGCTGGAACTTTTTCTACAGAACATCTGCAACTTGCCCAAAGAAACACATGTTCATGTAGAGTTTAATGTATGTAGCCGGTTTCTTTGGTTGCTGGATGTTGTTGGATTTCCAGAATGACACGACAATGATGATTAGATTGGTTAACTCAGATTGGTGCTAGAAGTGATTAAGCACCAGAAAGGAGGCAACGACTAGCCGCTACGCAAACACGTTTTTTACCCTGGAAAACAAAAGAAACTTTTTTGATTACCTGAAGAGTCGAAGCCACAAACATTTTCCCCCTAGTTGAAACACCATGAAATTTGTGGCTTCCGTACCTTTCTTCAGTGCCCGCATAAACGTCAGTCCACCCAACCTGTCCCTAAACGTGCCTGAGTTGCCCAACACAGTACGGGAAAGCGAAGCCTTGTTTTCACTTCACCGCGGGTACAAAACTTGAACCCTTGACTGAAGGGAAGTCTTCTTGGTGAAGTCGTTTTGTGCAATGGCAGAAAGCCCTAAGAATTACCCTCTGAGGTACTCAATTCTGAAAAGGCACTTAAACTCTCTGAATGAATTGACTCGGCAATTCGGGACATTGGTGCCCGTCGACACAGTTGGCACCGAACCAATTCAACTAACAAAAACGTGGGGACTCTGGCCCTCCTCATGCCACGTTCACTGCACAGCAGTGAGCAGGTCACAAGGATCAAGATTTCTAACAACAAGGGTTCGTGGAAAGGGCACCTCTTTTTTTTGTTTCCCGCGTTTCTTCGAACCATATCATATAATGTGCACCCGATATCAATCAACCTCCGTTTATCAATTTGCGGGGTGTCCCTGGGATTAGAGGGGAGTCAGATCACTTTTGGAGGACCAAAACCACTCCTATTTAATAAACAGGGAAACCACATTCGGAAACCTGCCTGTTCTTGCCAGCACCGGGTTTGTCGGAGAAACAACTGAAAAACCACGTTGTGTGGTTCTGATCCGGGCTTTAGTTGCCTAATATAATATATATATATATATATATATATATGTGCATATTGTAAATCTCACGTCCTGATTGGTTTGGCCAAACCAAACAACTTCATGATTGCCACTGAAGTGGTATTCCCAAACAGCTTGAACTTCATGAACTTAACAAGCAAGCTAAATAGTTGATTTGTATACACAAGTGTGTGAGCCACCGTTTACATCAGTCCAAGGAATGCGTTTAACTATCTGTAGTTTTACTGTGTCCCCTCTATAGATTCAACAAGGGTATCGTTTTTGTGAGTCCCTTATTGTTGTCTGTGAGAATCTCAAGGAAGGAAGACCGCAAGCATGACACATTAATTAACGCCTGCTTCACTATTCTTTGACACCATCCCATATACTGACATGCAAGACCCAAATTAAGTCTTTCCTTTTCCAACATCCACTCGCCCCTCGCCTGAAGCTGAGGTTTCACCACGAACTTCGGGGGCCAGTTGTCCTGAACTGTGGGCGGCTCATGATTTGGCTATGAATTTTTTTAGGGGTCTGTAACGCGCGACGCGGCACGAATCTTGTTACGGAGGTCTGTAACGGAGGTCCTTGTTACGCAGGTCTGTCACGGGAAAAAATCCTGACAAGCAGAATCAGGAGCGCATCAATGCAAGCCAAGCTGCGGCAAAAAGCAGGGTCGCTCGCTGGCCCGGGCTGGGGTTGGGTCTGTAACGAGGTGTGTGACGGCTATGTAACCAGGTCTGTAACGAGGCAAAGCAAAGCGCAGTACGCAAAGCGCGCCTCCGCAGCACCAGCTATTCAACGCAGGCCAAGCTGCGGCAAAAAGGGGGGGCGCTGGCCCGGGCTAGGGTTGGGTCTGTAACGAGGTATGTAACGGCTGTGTAACGAGGTCTGTAACGAGGCAAAGCAAAGCGCAGTATGCAAAGCGCGCCTCCGCAGCACCAGCTATTCAACGCACCCAAGCTGCGGCGAAAAGAAGGGGCGCTGGCCAGGGCTGGGGTTGGGTCTGTAACGAGGTATGTAACGGCTGTGTAACGAGGTCTGTAACGAGGCAAAGCAAAGCGCAGTACGCAAAGCGCGCCTCCGCAGCACCAGCTATTCAACGCAAGCCAAGCTGCGGCAAAAAGGGGGGGCGCTGGCCCGGGCTGGGGTTGGGTCTGCAACAAGGTATGTAACGACTATGTAACGAGGTCTGTAACAAGGCAAAGCAAAGCGCAGCACGCAAAGCACGCCTCCGCAGCTCCAGCTTGATTGCAGCTATTCAACACAAGCCAGGCTGCGGCAAAAAGAGGGCAGTCATGTCACTGGCCCGGTTTGTTCATCTGAGGTGTGTAACGAGGGTGTGTAACGAGGGTGTGCCACGAGGGGTGTGTAACGAGGGGTGTGTAACGAGCCAGCTGGTCTTGTTACAGAGGTCTGTAACGAGGTCTGTAACGAATGTCCGCCGCGGCTCTGTTACAGACCCCTCAAAAAAATTCACTGCCATTTGGCAACGGGAATCTGTTCGGATATCGGTTTAGGCCCTGCAAATGTCCGACTCCGCCATCTTGGTTTGTGACAATAACTTAGACTTGATGGGTGTCTTCATGGCTTGCAGCGTTGATTTTTCCTCAGCATCAGGTTACAGTGTTCCAGAAAAAAAGCTTGAATAACGAAAAGGCGCAAGGTGGTTTTTGCCACCCCCCCCCGGCTTCGACACTTCTCAGCTCTAGCCCAGATCCATGTGCATAGTTGTTCCATAGCCATGCGGGAAACGGGGGTGTATAGGTTGACTCTCACTTCCTGAGTGGAGTGGCCAAGAAACGTCTGATTTGTTTTACTTACCATGCACAACAATGGTCTTCCCCAAAAGTATAAAGTCCAGGAACTCAGGAAGTGAGGTGACCTGCACACGAATCCACAAAAGCAGGAACCAAACGTCATGGGTTGACACGGGTCTCAGGCCCAAGCCAAGCCAAAACCCGTCCACTGGATGTGGCACTCCCCCAGCTTGGTCTCGTCCTAAGCCAACGTTCACCCGCCAGGTCCAGAGCACACCCACACACACACACACACAACAATCAACACACACACACATACATACACACGCGCACAGGCACCTTCTGGGTGAAACATGCATACCTAACCCTTTGGGTACCGCATGCGTGTGCAAAAACGCCGACTCCCTACTCCGCGTCGGCCCTTCGGCCCAGGGGCTGAAAGCTCGTGGGGCGGCAGAAAGACCCGGGGATGGCCGGCGGCGAGGTTCTCCTGGCATTGGCGTTGATTGCTCTGGGTCTTCGGGAGATCAGCACCTGAACCGGGGTTACGATACTTAATATTTCCCCTAACATCACCCCAGGCGAAGTATATTCCCCCCCCCCCATATTTTCACCATATTCCAACGACAGTTCCCAACAATATTTCCCCAACGATAGTTCCCCCCGTATTCCACAGGGGAAGTGTAATGCCCCCTCTGATTGATGCGAACTTGACCTCCTCCCGAATCACCTTGCCCAACACGAATGATGGTCCATGTAAGACTCAAATTTTGTCCAACCCCCCCAGAAAACAGAAACACCAATTTTATCACTACAGATTCCTCAACAATTCAAATTTTGACAAGCTCAGAACGGGCACCCCCTTCAAGGCCAGTTCCTCCTAACAACACAACAGCCTCTGATTCATCATGGCCCTCTCCAACACTGGACAAAATAATCCGATGGTTTCTTTCCTACTACCGTCCCAGCAGCCAACCAGAGTCGGGGAATGAGGGGGAGGCCCATGGGGGACGGCCCAAGAACTGCTTTTTCAAGACCTTGACCCAACTTGAGGGAGGAAGGGGCGGTTCTACTCAGGAGTAATCATTGGGGAACAACAGGAACATCAGCTCAAATCGTCTGAGGATCAGAATGGAAACCCAGATACCCCAAAGAGGAACCACCACAACTAGGTGGTTCCACGTTATTCTCAGGAAGGGATCCCCAGAAGCAAGCCTGCATTCCTCCGTTCAGCGTTTGTCCCGAAACGCGAAGCACATTAGCTGAGCCGGCAAAACCAAAATGCAGGCTGTGTCTTTCGCAGCCTTGGCAACAGCGAAACAGCATCAAAGGCATCCAGCACCACCTTGAGAGCGCATAGCCCAAATGAGTGCGTCCATTACCCCCTTCTTTGCTGGCGTCAAACAGAAAACAAAAAGCAAACCCGCCATTCTGATACCCATTTTGGGAGGTCCCCTCAAAAGAAAAGAACAAGCCACCCAAATCGACAATCCCTATGGAGCGGCCGACCCAGAAACCTCCGCCCCCAAACGTCGATTGTCTTTTCCTTTCGGGTATGATTCTTTCAAAACAAGCCCTTTCACGGACAAGGACACAAAAGTTTCACGGTGCGCCTATTTCCACATGATGTCTACGGGGAAACCCTGGTTCAATCACCCGAATGAGATGATCACTGCGAACCCTTCAAGTGATCCGAAACCGTCCCGAAAACGGACGCAACCCGAACACAACTGAGCCGACCCGAGTTTTCACCCGCGCCTGCAGCAACCGCTCCTTCAAGTCCCGGATGGTGTTTCGTCCCCTCAGGCCTTCGAGCGCCACCTGCCGGGTGCCGGGTGCCGGGCCCCTTTTCGGGGTTGGCATCAGGGGAAACCGAGGAGGTTTCACGCCACATTGCCCACACCTCCGGATGTCTTGCTTGTAGGAATAAGGCACATATGTGTGGTGAGCGGGGGCGGGGGCGCTTACCTTGTGCCAGGCATGTACGCTGCCAGGCATGCACGCAGGACTACGATGGAGAGCGTGGGCGGGTGCGCTTACCATGTGCCAGGCATGTACGCAGGAGTACGACGGGTCGCGTGGGGGTCGGCGAGTTCGAGAACCCACTTTCCGTGGGCCGGCAAAAACTCCTTGCTTGAACATCCCGAAAACCCAAGAAAACGCCACGCCGATTTTCGGGGCGTAATTAGGCCAAAACATGTCCAGCAGTCAGAAATCCCCTTTAACACCAACAAGGGAACATTAAACAACAAACACAGTTTTCAAACATATTCATTTCAGCTAGCAAATGGAAGTCACCGTTCCGGCCTGTTTCTCGAATACCGTGGCCTCGTCAATGGTGAGATCCATCGAGCGGCCCTAGGGTTCCAGTCCCGACAGTCAGGGGATGCATTGGCCGTTGGCTGGGCGTGGGGTGCTACAAAAAACAGAAGATGTTGGGTATGGGTCAAAATTGAACCATCAGGAATCGGACCTGTAGTCCTTCCCATTTGCAAGGGTTCCATGTTCTCATGTTGGGTGCCTGTGTTTGACCCACACTCTGTTCAAAGAAGTTGCATGCCATGGGCCATGCGGGCACAACCTTGGGCGGCACCGAGGAACTGGTATCTGACTTCAACACGACTCCAACTTTCGGAAACCTGGACACGTCAAACCCGGGGTGATCCCAAAAAGGGCCCCAATGTCGACAACCCCCCCGTGGAACCCAGAATTAAACATCGTTTAGTACGGGTCGTCTCATACACGTGGGGATCCTCCACGCTTTTTCGAGTGAAAGCTATATCCTCCTTCCCACTAACATGGCAACTGACAGGGACCCGGTCCCTTCAAAAGGAAACTCATCTTCCAGACTTCCTCCCCACGGAAGGGTCAAAATCCTCAGTCACCAAAGCTCCAGCTTGATGCCAAGCTCGGCGCCAGAAGCTTCACCTCACACCGCGAACCGGTGAGAACTGCTGGCGGCTGGAGGTTCACCCACCAAAGTACAGATCCCCCATGAAAAAAAGATCCTTTGGGATTCTAGATGCTATCTCAGACGGAAGCTACATAAGGCAAGCTCATCTTCAAGGGACCCCAAAGTGTTGATTTCCACAGAAAGATCAACCAGTTTGGGGGGGGGGTCTCCCACTTAAGCGGACGAAATACGAACCTTGCGCTATGGCCATGGCCTAGTTTGCTTTATCCAAAGTATATTGAGCCTCTCTACAGAAGAGACTATGGCATCCCTTAAAACGCAAGAGGGTTGTTGAATCAAGACCGGTGCTTGAAACCTCTTGAACTGTGGATGGACACACTCCGGTTCATGCCGGGATGGATGAAACCCTATGAATACTGGCAATGGTTGATAAACCAATACAAACCACCAGCTGGACCAGAGTTTGATGAGACCCTATGACCGGTCAATAGAAACCAATATAATACAAACCACCTGGCGACATGGGGAGTTCGTCCATCCACATGCAGCGCCGAGCCACTCGAGGTCTCAGGCACCGGCGATCACGGGCGGCAGCAGCTCCTTGGCCTTTGCGTGCAGGAGAGCTGCCTCATCCACCAGCCTGCGGGGCTCATTCAGGGATTCTTACAATATAAAAACCGCACCTGAACATTGCAACTTGTACATGGTGGTTTCCATTTCATTATTTTGGTGTTGAAAAAGCCAGCCATGTTTCAAAAGGTGGCAAAATGTATCTTTGAAAACCCAGTGCTTCCCATTGGCGGCTCGCAGGTGACAGGGGAAACCATCAGGCCTGCCAAGGCTGGACTAGGAGCGAGACAAACAGCCCTGAAAGTCCCAGTGCGTCCAATTGGCGTCCCGCCATGGTAGTTTTATTTTTTTTGTTCCTTCTGGGGCAAACCATACGACATGATGTCAAATTGGAGGTAAGGATCTCGAACAGTCACCTACTATAGTGGCGAAACGCCAATCGAAAGCACTGGGAAAGTCATATATGATGCAGACACCTGAAATGGCAAGTGCAAGTACTGCAAGGGGCGACAACACATTTATTCACACACAAATTATTCTTTCTCCCATGGTGAGGAAACATGGTTCACTACCCCACGCCCCCATACTTATCTAAGCCCTAATGTCGAGGAACCTTCGTCAGGATTCCTCAAACAAAAAAAACAAAAAAACGACTCCTCATTAAGGAGGTCCTAAATCAGTTTGTAAAGGTGAATTCTAAACCCCAAATGTAGACACAGCCTGTTTCTTAATTCAGACACTCCTCAAGCAAGGGAATCACAAGCGGCAACCTCAACTCGGATCTCCCCACCATCTGCGATCCGACCGAACTCATGGACCTGCAAGGAATCTGAGGAAAGAAACACACTTTATCCTGGGCGAGGTCATAAGCCTTTGTCAGGACGGTATGATTCACCCAAGACAAATCAGAAGTTTACAACCCATCGCTGAGGAGGGGATGAAGGTTTTGCGTAGCACAAGATTTTTGTAACTTGCGCTGTGGCTTCCAAGCGGAAACTGACACCTTGAAAGGCAACACAACACCCAAACAAAGTGCCACTGGACCAGTGTGGTTGAGTGCCTGCCAAGGAGAACCTCAGCTGGTCCCGCCCCAGCTGCGAAATGCAAAACAACATCCTTGCGAAACGGCCGGTGTAACATTCGCTCAAGGCAGTTGCAACGCGTGTGCTGCTGTTTGGGAAAGTGCCATGAAAGAATCAGTGACTTCCCTTAGCGTTACACTCAGGAAACCAATGCCCAATCAGCGGCGTCGGGGAACAGGCAACGCCTTTGGGTGCCGGACAACTGGGCTGCTCCCGATGCCGCTCCCCAAGTTTGACCAACAGTACATAGACTATTACCAATATTTCCAGCAGTCACATTCTGCTGCAGTAGTCACGCAAAGGCTTCCGCGACTTTCTCTGTGTTCAATCACCCCAGCCCCTTTTAGGAAAATACACTTTTGTTGGTGGCAATTGGCGTTTGTTGTCTGTGGCCGTGCAGCATTTACCAAAAGACGGGGGTTGCTCATGGTTGCTCTTCCCTCAGAAACACAAGTCCGAAGATGTTGTGGTTTGAATGGAAAAGCAATTTCTCACTTGGCCAGTGACCAGCGCAAAAAAAGTGTACACTTCTTGGGCCACCACTAAAATAAAGGGAGAGCCACAAAAAAAAAGAAGTGTAAAGTGTGTCCACTGGCTAGGCAAGATTTGTATCCAAAAGGTCCAAGGAGCCAAGGTCACTACTCTGACTTCCCCAACGCTCCGCTGAGGATCGAACGGGGCACTTCGCGCCTCTTCTTGGGATCGCCCACTGCGAGATAGGACGGCCGCTCTTCTTTGGCCTCCGATCGACGCACTTCGATGGTCCGAGCAAACAACCCGCCACTGAAAAACCCCCAGTTAACCCCCCAAAAAATTTTAGCCCCCAGTCAACCCCCCCCCAGTCAACCCCCAGTCAACCCCCCCCCCCCCCGCAATTTAAAGCCCCTGTCACCGGGCTGACCATGTAGAAATCGCCCCCGAGCATCCAAGCCGACGCCCGTTTGTGCCACTGGTGCGCCAACGTCCAAATTCAGGGCGCCTTGGCTTTGACCCCAAATTTACTCCCATTAAAACCCTTGTACCCTTGTACCCTTGCCGACTCAAGGGCTGATGACTGATGATGTTGCTGATGGTGATCGATGGTGGTGATGGGAAGGTGATGGTGATGGTGATGATGATGGTGATGATGATGGTGATGATGATGGTGATGATGATGGTGATGATGATAATGATCGATGGTGGTGATGATGATGGTGATCGATGGTGGTGATGATGATGGTGATCGATGGTGGTGATGATGATGGTGGTGATGATGGTGATGATGATGATTATGATGATGGTGGTGATGATGGTGGTGATGATGATGGTGATGATGAGGATGATGATGATGATGATGATGATGCTGACAATGCCTTCGGAGTGCCCCACGATGTTCGATGATTATTGGACATCCTCCCATAGATCAGACAAGGTTCTACCAATCCAGTTAGCTTGAAACATTGTCACCAAGAACGAGGATGTCTTACAATGCGGCTGGGCAACCAGAAAACCCTGATTGAACTCCTGTTGCGAGAAGTTACGACCAAGAAGTGCTTAGCCATACGACTCCGGCACAAAAAGCAACGATTCTCTTTTGGCTTCCGGTTCCATTCCACACCACCCGACCTCGCAAAGCATCTTTTGCTGAGCTCTTCTCAGAGACCCGGCACTGGTTCTCCAAGTTGAACAGTTGGGTTTACAAACAGCTGCCAAGGCAGTTGCGTTTCGTTTGGCGAAAATTATTGGAACTCAAGCATGTTGGGCTCTCTTCATTTTTGCGGTTTTGGGCGAACACGAAGTAGCCCAGGGAAGCAAATGAGCACAAGGTAGATCACAATGTACCCAAAGCACCCGGAAACACAACTCGGGTGAAGCTGTGGATGATGACCGGGTTGAGGATGTGACGGTGGAAAAAGACGGTGTTTGGGGAGGTTGGGAAATAGGTTGCAAAAGTAGAGAAGTCAATCAAGCCCAGGATGACCTCGACGACCGACCACCTACCTCCTAACACCGGCGCCCCGCAGCCCCACGGTTTTCACCTCGGGGACGAAGAGTGCCGCCGTGTTATGGCGGGTGCACGTGGGTCCGAGATTGCCCTGACGGGAGGTTGAAATCTTGAGCCATACGGCCATTCGGCCGCTTTGCCACATGATGAAACGACACGTGAACAAAACACACCCCCCTCATCCGATATCAGGACGAGAGAAAGGATGCGAGACAGTTGAGTTCACGACGAAAGGGACCAACCAAAAATGCCGGTGTCAACTCAGAGGTGAGCCAAACGGCATCACCTGGGCCCCAGTTAAAATCCCGCCACCACCCCGAATTATCGGGGCGACAGGATTATTTGACGAGTGGACCACATGAGTGAACAAAGACATATTGGAGGAACCAGACGAAGATTCCTCTCGTGCCGTTCATGAGTCGTCATGGGACGATGCCATGCGGAGGGGGATCCTATCTGGATCACCGCGCCTCACTGCACGCCGTGGAGCGGTTGGAAGAGTAGTCGAGTTGGGAGGAAATTAGAAACAGAAGTTCCGAAATTGGTGTGAAAATAACTGGCAATGGCCGGCCCGGCACTTCTAGTGCGGTCACAGCCTCACACAGGATCGCCAGGGGAACCGTCTCCGGCGCGCACGGCAGCGGTGCGGGAGGGACACGAGCAACGCCGGATCAGCGGTACAGGGCAATGGAGATCATCACCCCCAGCAGCGCTGCACGGGCGAGAGGAGGACCGGCGCGGTCGCGTTTGTCGGCGACACACGTACTATCCTCGCCCTTCTAAGGCGGATGCTGATTGCGGCACCCGTCTACCGGCGGATGCTGATTGCGGCACCCGTCTACCACCCTGAACCAGGCTCTTCCCGGTCCCTGGGCGCGTCGTCTCTTCGGCGTCCACCACGGTCACCTCGATCACCTCCTCCATCCCGACGGCGATCCTCACCACCACCCCTATTGTGGTCGCCAGCCGGAGGTCGGCGAGGCGGAGGGGGATCTGATTGGTGACGTCGGTCATCCCTGCGCCGGTCCCGGTGGCGATCGCGACGGTCATCGCCCGGGTCATCACGTCCGCGGCGCTCATCTCGCCCCGGGCCGCGCCTCTCGGAGGTCTCCTCATGACGTGGAGGAGGTCGGCGATCATCGCGTCGGCCTCCGCGGGTGTCCCTGCCACGATCATCCCTTTGTCGGGGCGGGCCGGGATCCTCACGTCCTCCTTTGCCAGGTCGATGTTTTCCTCGACCCTTCCCCTCACCCTTAGGACCACGACGATCCTCGCGGGCCCCAAGCGCGGTCCTTGACCGATCGTCATCTCGTCGGGGCCGCGACTCATCTGCCGCACGAGTGGTCCGAGGCACACCCGGGGGAAGCTCCCACTCGTCGTTGTCGTCATCACGCGGGTCATAGCCGCGATGGCCGCCCAAGGAACCGGTGGCATCCCGTGGTGGGGACGCAGGAGTTCCGGGACCGCCCGATCGAAGACGAACTCGGGGAGTCGCGTCCTCGCCGGTAAAAGGATCCTTCTGGGTGTAGAAACCCTTAGTCCTGCCCCTTCTCTCCCCACCTTCCACACCGCTTCTCGCGGGGACCGGGGATGGGCGGGCAGGCTGGGCCATGCTCTTAGAGCTGGGTTGCCCGCTAGGCGGGACCTGAACGCCCCCCTGCCCTTTTTCGGGCGCGGGGACCCGACCGCGAGATGTCCTTCTGGCCTTGGGTTGGTCGGACTCACCCTCCAGCTCGGACTCGGTGTCAGGGACACGAGTATTGATGGCCATGTCCTCTTCCTCAAACGGATCCCCAGTCGTAGTAACGCCTGCCGCAATGGGAGCGGGAGGAGGAGGAGGAGGAGTTGGCACAGCATCGCCAGAATGACGCCTGCATGCGGCACCACGGGAGTCTCCGGTTCTACCGGGACAGGCGGCGCAGGAGGAGCCGGGGGCGGTGGCGGAGGGGGAGGGATCTCCTCCTCGTCGTCGCCCATGGGCTCGTCAAGGTCGTCAGGCTTCTCGTCATCTTCGTGCGAAGAACCATCCGATCCCAGCTCATCCTCCGCTGATCCAGCAAAGTCGGGCTCGTCTTCGTCCTTCACGCCGGGGCCTGGTGTAAGGCGAATTCCGGGTCGATGGCGATCGCGGGGTCGGAAGCGGTATTTCCTTGGTACAGGGTCGGATAGCTCCTGTTTGATGTCATCCTGGGTTTGAGGACGGTCGGCCAAGCAGGTGTCGTAGGCAACGGTGGACGTCCGGTAGATCAGATCGTCCATACTGCTGAGGTCGTTGAGGGTGTAGACATACCCCTTCTTAATGCCTTCCCGTATCGTGTCCATAGCCCGTTTGAGGCGCGCGGCAGGATCGAAACCGGCCCTTCTCCGCATGGCCTGCAATATCCCGCAGTGCTGTGCGAGCAGCTTCACCTGGAACTTGAATCCCTCCCCGGACACATCGTTGGGGAGTATCGGAGAAAGGTGTCCTGTTCTCAGCCCAATGATATGGGCCTCAAGAATGTAGTAGGACGTGTAGAAACCGCACCGGTTGGCGTTGAAGTTTGCGGTGGTTAGGCGTCTGCCCCACTCAGCCGCATATCCCTCATATTCTTCGAAGAATTCGGGGACGGAGCTCCCGTTGAAGGCCAGACCCCTTACCAGGATCGCCTTTGCTACCCACTCTTCCACGTTGTTGTCGACCGTGTCACGGTATTTGCCGTCAAGGATTTCGTCTCGGAGCGAGTCGTGAAGTTTCCGGAAAATGCCATCCACGTCCTCTTTGTCAAGGTACTTAGGAGGCCGCATCCCAGACATCAACAAGGACCGGGCATCGACGGCGGGACTCTGCGAGTAGAGGGCCATTCCGATGGCGTTGGCGTCTGAGTTGTTCCACAGAGCGGGGACGAAGCCCTCGTATTTTGCCAGCCAGGGAGGAACCAACCCGTCAGTGCTCGCTATCGTGCGAGGGCCGCCGTTCGTGTCTCCGGTGGGCAGGACGCCATCGTAGAAGATGGGAAGGTAGCAGGCGGTGCACAGGTGAGCGCCGACCGGATGGGCCGTCATGCACCTATGGCATGGAACGGACACCACCTCGCGGACATGTTCCGTCTTGGTGATCTGATGGTACTTCTCCATCTCGTCCCGACACTTCCTCGGGTTATCACTCAAGGAGTTGAGGAAGTTGGGCGGATAGCACCAAGGCCTCAGGTAAATGATGGAGCAGTCCTCCTTGAAGTAGACGCATCTCCAGTACCCGATCGCGATGTTCTCGCGCGACGCAAAGGTACCCTGACGAGTAATATGCATGCCCCCATTTTCCATGGAGAAGAAACGTGCATCGATAGCCATGACCACATATCGGGGATCGCTCCTTTGGCGTCGACCCGAGGTGTGCAGCTCCGTCACGTTGCTGTCGGTGATGCGGTCGACAGTGTCGTTGGGGCACTCTCCGTGATCGCGGAGGGATTGATACTCATCCGGCCGAGAGGGAAGGAGCTCGATCAGAGCTCGCCCACCCCGAATGATCGCCCCACGTTCTACGTAGAGCCGATACATTCGGAGAGGCACCACCTTGTAGAGCGTCTTAGGAACCACCTTGGAGGTGATAGGAAGACAAACAGGGCTCTCGTAGAGCATGTATTGGTATCGTTCACGAAATGCCCGGTAATCAGTGTCGGATCCGATTTCAAGCGACCTTACCGCCGCTATGCGGGCGGAACCAGGCAGCAACCGACGCTCCTTGTCACGAATGACGGTGATGATGATCTCGAACATTCC